AAGATAGTCGCTTGACATTGTGCAGGTGCTAAGACCTCTGGTTGATGGTTTTGCAGCTTGTTATTCTTAAATGTAATTAAGTCTCATCAAGATTTCACCCGCAGTTCTTTTTATCCGTCGAGGTGCTCAATGCACGCTGCCCTCTCCAACTGAGGTTGTCCTTACCTTTGTGATTACCTTTAATTATCTTTTAATTACTAGACAAAAACTATCTGCATAAAAGCTTCTAATAGCTTCCAGTTTGGTGGCTAAGTCACCATGTTTAAATTGTGTGCACTTTTATTGATAATTAGGTTCTATGTACTTACATTTTATGACCTAGAAGCACACGCCAAAAATGTACACAATGCTGTTTTTTAATCTCTTTTCCCCCCTCATTTAATATAAGCAACATTCATACATTTCCTTCACAAACCGCACACAAAACCCAAACTCGAGTCCCAAATGACCATAAAACCTTTAGAACAACCAACATAATCTGACACGAATCACAACTCCTTCCCTCCCCTGCATGCTCAAAGTAATCCGAGTAACCCGCACACAGCTGGCGTCAGCGCAGGTTGTGTAATTAGAAACGGCCGGGAAAATGACAACGGGTGCATGCTGGGGATTTCCAATTGTCACTGCAGGATGTGATGGTGGAAGGTGAGGCGGTCCACTGGGCAGGGAGTACAAGAGTCTCCCGGACTGTAGTCGATGATTGATCGGCCTGATCAATCATGGAATCATCAGAACCCAGAGTTTTGCTGTCTGCGCGGCGGTTTTGTTGTGCAATTTTCCAAAGTGTCTGTTTTTAAGCTCCCCTCTGGTTTTATTACCCTTTTATTTGCCTCCCTCCCGTTGACCACATGTTTGCCTACTTTCGCCAATGAGGCGTTCGGGTCGAGTCGTCTCTGGGTGGCGGTGCGGCGCACACGTCACAAAGCGACTCCACGTTGGGGGTCGCCTCCTGAACCGCTCAGCGTCGAATACCAGCCGGTTCTAGAGTGACTTCCTCCCTGAGCTCGGATGAGTAAACACCAGTGGTGATAGAGTCAAAACACAAGTCCTGGCTTTGATTAACATTACAGCTTTGTGTGTGTGTGTGTGTGTGTGTGTGTGTGTGTGTGTTGGGAGGGGGTCTAAATTTTTAGGCCGGATATTGTACTAATGTTGTCTCCACACGCAATGCAAAATGAGCGTTGTGGTAGAAGCCAATCTGCCACGTATTATATCATTTATTCAAAAATATCTGAGTTAAGTTCTAATGTAATGTAAATTAGAATCAAATGTGCATCTTTGGGCTTTGTGTGTCCAATAAACAGAAGCGTTCACTTCATCTGACGTCGATGTCATTCACAACGTCTGAGATTTAACTGAACTGGAAGCTAAAGTTTGTGAATTATTTGCCACAGTGCGCAGCCTCAAGTCGGTCTTCACACGCAACATCAGAGAGTAACTTGAGAATAAAACAATGATGTCACTTATTGTCCTCCCGCAAATCTATAATTATATCCGAGAGGAAGAGCGAAGAGCTGGATATACAATGTGTGTGTGTGTGTGTGTGGTGGGGGGGGGGGGGGGTTGTGCCTCGCTTTGAGCTGGCCCAAAATGAAGGAAGAATCAGAAGACCCGAATAGTCTGACATGAAAGAGGATAGGAGAGACGGAGGACCAAAGACTGGAAGACTGGAAAGAAGAAGGAAATAACTCTACTCGGTTCTGTGGTCCCAGTACACTAATACCAGAGTAAAAAGCTACGCCTTCTGACTGGTCGGATAAGTGTATGAAGAAGCTGGTCTTCTCACCTCCATGTCATTGGTTTATATTACAATATGTACGTAAAAATGGTTATCACTTTAAAGTGGCAGCTGGTTAACGGCGGAGCTCATTTTAACTTTCCTGTTGTTAATTTGGCAGCTACTTAATACTAGTTTAATTTTTTGTTTATTTTTACTGCTGGTTGAAAGGGAACAAAAAATGGAGCCCAAAGTTTTTCAAAAATATAACCTCTAAAGTTTTCACTAAAAGTTTAGTTACGGGTAGATTTTGTTGATGCCCTTTCCTATGTGTTAGAAGATAGTGTCTTTCTTTAAAACGGGCTGTGTAGTCGTGATCTGTTTGCACAACAGCGTAGTACTTTAAAAACTAACTGCAAAGTGCCAGTAGGAAGCTCTTTGTGTTGAGTAGCTAGAGACGTCCTTTGGGTGGTGGTTGTTTCTTCAACAGGACGTGTCTCTGAATCGAAAGCAGTGTGTTTTTCTTAATTTGTGCAATATTGTGTCATCTTTGCCTCCAAATATCAGCACATGCCAGAGGGCTTTTACATATTGTCACTGACCGCTTTATCCTGTAGGTCAGCACGCTAGACACCAGTTTGCTGAGGAATCAGGTTATACAGGAAATCAGACGTGTTTACATGCATAGTAGGAAGTGATTTGTCACAACAGATGTCTCTAAATAATTCATCCAGCAATGGAAACCTTTTCGGTGAGACAATGGCTTAAAAGTTGTTTTAAAACCTGAACGCACAGCTACATGATCTTTCCCGTCAGCTTTCCCCTGTTTCGAGTCGTTGTAATGCACACGTACCTGCCAAGAAATCAATGCTCAAAAAAACGGCGATCTTGTGATTACTTAAGTGTATGTAATCCCAACGAAGAAAAGGGATTTGTTCAAATTGTCTATATGTCAATTTGACCAGAGTCTGTCCTAAAGGAAAGGATCCAAATTTAAAAATTAAAAAAAAACGCACGGCTGCACAGTGGAATAGAAAAACATTCACCCTCCTTGAGTTTTTCCTGTTTTGTTGAATGACAGCCTGTGATTTATGTAACGCACCGACACAAGCAAAGGTGTAATTGCGGAAGAGTAAAAAAAAAAAAAATTAGGAGGACCAATCTAGAACTCAGGTCCAGAATGGGTCTTTGTCTTGGAAAGTGTCCACATCGAACATGTTGCCTCCCTTCTCCCACATGATCCAAAAATAAAAAATGATTGGCTTCCCTCTCCTGCGCATAAGGACCTTCCCCTGTCCTCTGGGTTTATCGTAACTGTCATTTGTTTTTAATCCCAGTTCCCCCGCTTTTGTTAAGGCTTAATCTGGCCTATTACACTTTATTCAGGTCTGTGCTGTCGGCGTGTTTGTGTGTGTGTGTGTGTGTGTGGGGGTAGGACACAGCAGTTATATCATACCATCTGGAGAAAGAAATACACGATAAAGTAATCTGTCTCCTTTCGCCCTGTGGCCCAAGATGTGTTGACGGCGGAGGGACGAGGATAATTGGGTGAATAAAACAACGACAAAAGAAAGCGATGCTTTGTGTGAATCCCCCGTTGCACGATGTGAGTTTCCCCCCCGACTGGCCCTCTCGTGTGTGTGTGTGTGTGTGTGTGTGTGTGTGTGTGTGTGTGTGTGTGTGTGTGTGTGTGTGTGTGTGTGTGTGTGTGTGTGTGTGGTGTCACCCTGCAGCCAGCCGTCCTCTCCTCTGACCCTGATCCCCATCACCTGTCTGCTCAAATCACACACACACTGTTGCTGTGACCCTTTCCTGGAGTAGAAACCCAATTGCAGTCGGTGGACATGCAAAACCTGCTAGCGCAGAATGTTTTTTTTTTTTTTTTTTTATGCCTCGAAAGACCTGCTGTGAGATTAACAAAGCACTCCTTCCTACCATGTAAAGAGAATATCAAAATAACTAAAATACACACACAGAGAACGGACAAAGGTGCAATACTATTTCATGCCTCAATCCGCTTGTACCCCGATACGAATATCTTTCCACGTGATGAATATTGTGCGACGTCAGACCGTAGTGTGAAATATTACCCAGAGTTCAACAGCAGCTGTGGGAAAATCAAGTCGCAGCTCGGTGTCCCAGCACCTTCACTGTGACCCGACAAAGAGAACCGGTGTTGGAAAACTGCACAAGTGGTCCTTGCTCTTACGTGCGCCTACCCAAATATTTAGAAATTAAGCAACACATTTGATTGTTACCTGCAAATGTTTGTAACGGCACAGCAAATACAATCCATCGGCACAAGTGGATGCACACGTTTGACAAGACCGGTTGGAGATTTTCATGCAACTAATATTTCTGCGTTAATCCCAGGAGACCTGTTTAATACAACAGCCTTTGGTCAATGTGTACAGGATTAACTTCTGCATAAAGAGGAATAAAGGTGATTTAACCTCCCTTTCTCTAACCAAACCCTTGTGTTTTATTTAGCTGTTTGAGTCTCTCCAGATGCAACCCTGATGTGACTGGCTATCCATTGCAAGACTACTGCAGGTCTTATAACGCCCCCCTAGCTCTAATCTCCCAGACCAACTCTCTCTCGGCTGATTTTAGGAATTTTTGGCTTCTTGGACCCTGGCGACAGCGAGCTGTTCAACTGTACCTGTTTTATATTTAGTAGAAATGCAGTTTAAACCTCCGTAATGCGTCAGAAAATGGAAATATCGCAGTACCCGAAGAGGGGTCGGAACCGGAACCTGCTAATAAACAGGCATAAATAAACCGGCATAAGTGATCCAGTTCTTTAGCATTCATAAGCCGCACAGTTATAAGGTAATTCATGATCCGTCTGCAGTCTCCGCCGTGCATGCCCCTGCCGCCAATAAGGAGTATGAATAAGACCAGTAACCCGACTTTAGACCGTAGGCTTCAAAGAAGAACAACATTTGATATAAAACCCAACGTCTGTTACTTTAAAGGCGTTGTTGTCTCTCCAAGAGGCCATGGAGATGAGGCTATAGTTACTCGACCCCTTCTCTTGTTTATCATATTTTTGTATGTGATATTATTGAATGGAAGACCACTATCCAAAGAGATAAATGTCTCTGCTGCTGAAACGTAATGAAACATGAAATCAAAGGCTCTGTATTGATGGGGCCTTTAAATTACAGGACATGTACGAGGCTGATGGCACCTCGGAATGGGTAAAAAAACAAAAAAATACCCTTCCGCCTACAAGTCACCATGTCCGCGTACACTCACGTACTGACTTCCTTCTTCTCAGGAGACCAAGTCATCTGGTCGCTCCAGCATGCCGCGATGTCGGAACTCCGTCCCCACGACCACATCAGATGACCAGCCACACATCGGTAACTATCGGTTGCTAAAAACCATCGGCAAAGGCAACTTCGCCAAGGTCAAACTGGCACGACACGTCCTCACCGGAAAAGAGGTAGGCCGCACGCGCACACACACACACACACACTCTCTCACTCTCATTAGCGAGATTTCATCTACCCTTTAGCTCCACTTGCAGTTGTACCGACACTGAACTAGTCTGTTATTTGAAGCCACTTTAGTCACATTCTGGAGAAATGTTTTACTATTGAACCCTTTTCTAAAAGACTAAACTTTTTCGATAACAAAACGTCATTCTGAGAAAGCCTATTAAAGCAGAAGAACTCAACCATTATCCTTTTCCTACAAAAGTAAGTAAATCTTACTCTGCTGAACGGCTTGACAGAAATAATCATTTAATAGCAAGTGAGGATATGAGGGAGTGGCTGCCACGACTACATGACAAATGGTAACCGCGTACGTTTAGCCATTTATTCATGTATTAACAATGAGCCAATATGGTAAAAAAAAAAGGATCCCCCCCCCCCATTCTGGACTCGCGTGGCTTTGGAGACGGAACATCTGCTGCAGGAGGTTATTGTCAGCGCGAATAGAAACGTCTCCGGCTCATTGTGAATTCCAGGTGTGACGTAAAGCGGCGGCCTGTCCCTTTAAGGGAAACGCTGTGTGTGCGGTGAGCCCACGCTGGGGTCCGTCTGAGGGCCCGGTCAAGTACGCTCTTGTTTCTGTGTGCGAGAGCGCTGGAGAGGGGTGGGCGGGCCCTGTCGATGCGTGACAGCTCTGTGCCTGACACCCTGATAACACTCCGTGTGACTTGTTCTCTCACACACACACACACACAAAGAAAACAAGGGAGTGTCAGAGGGAAGCAAAGACTCAGACAGACAAGCACAACCAGAAAGAAGTTGGTTGACAGTGAAAGACACACAGGGAAGTGTGTCCATGTTAAGACATTATTCTTTGTTCCCCTCGCCTTTCATCCCTTTCCTTCCACATATCCCTATTTGAAGCCCTCCCATCTGTCTGTTCGCTATTGTCTCCTCCTTATTTCTTGCTCTCTCTGTATCTCTTCCCCCCCTACACCCCTCACAGTCCTTATTATGGCTTGGGTATCAACCATCCGTATATTGCCTTATTATGCAACTGTCGCCTGCTGTGTTTGTGTGGTCGGCCCTTAATTCTGTGCAATTGTATCATTTTGTGCATGCAACGCGTCCAAAAGATGTCGGTGCGTATGTGCAGCTCCGTGTGAGCGAGATGCGTCAAAGCCACTGCATGTGATTAATGAATAAAAAAGTGTAATAACAAATGTTGCTGTGATTCTAGGTGGCTGTAAAGATCATTGATAAGACACAGCTCAACTCCTCGAGTTTGCAGAAGGTAGGTCTCTCTCTCTCTCTCTCTCTCTCTCTATCTCTATCGCGCACACACACGCACAAAATACAAACCTCAGTCAAGTCATTCTCTATTGCTGCCCTGCGTATGGTTTCTCTTTTGCTCTTTCCCTCGTCAGTATATCGTCATTCTCTTTCTCTCTCTCTATATCTCTTTCGCTCTCTCTGAAGTGGTCTAGTTTTCAGAGCGAGTTTTAATTACAGGAAACAAGCTGCAATTACTTCTTTTGATCGTGGCAGGGTGGGGTCTGTCCACTTACACGCAAACTCTCTAACCATATATGCTCGTACACTCAGCATACGTATGCACGCACGCCAATAACCTATACATCCTCACAGATGAGGAACACAACAAGAAAATGTAAAGAGTCACACATCCATTAAGTCATAAACGTTTATTTTCAGACACTCAGCGAATGCAAAGACGGATGGCAGATAAATCCTAAAAATAATCCCATCACGGGTCTTGAAGTATTTTTTCAACCCCAGGGGATGTGTTTGGGTTTTTTGTACCCTCCTGAACAGTACATTGAATATTTCACAATTAAAAGACATTGTTTCAACCTCAAATGTCAAGTTTATTTCTTAATAACTATATTGTAAACATATCTTAATATATTTAGTTATTACCATGGAAGGACTTGATAAAATGAATAATTCCTCTTTCCTTTGGGACAGAGGATGTCTTTTGAATGGAACAACCAAGTTATTTGCCTTTCAGTGTAGTGACCTTATTTGTTGCGTCGGAGGAAATACATGAGTATGATAAGATAAGTATGATAAGATAATAATGAGTCAAAAGCGCCTCTTCACGCTCCACCCACTCAAAGAGACTAGGTGGCGTTGATCTGGACTTAATTAGGTTAAATTAATACTCAGTGCTTTGGCTTTTAATGTTTACAGTTTACAAGCATCTGAGGGGATCTGGGTTTGTTAATCCTTAAAATCCTCAATTGTGCCAGACCTCCGATCTTAACTGGTATCGCTCGACTCGTTTGTTTTTATTATCCTTATGGTAAACTGCCACATGCTTACAAACAAGTGATTACGTTCAGTGTAATATTTCTCCAGTTAAAAATATTGATTCTGGAGTCTTTTGCAACGATGCATAAAAGATTACAACTCATCCATGAGAAATTTGTTGTTTGCACACGAACATCAAAAAAACGAATAAAACCAACCGCACATATGCATTCACACTGAGGACCAATCCCAACCTCAATTGAACCGTGTTTCTTTTGATCTAGCTCTTCCGGGAGGTCAGAATCATGAAGATGTTGAATCACCCCAACATAGGTGAGTCATGCCGAAACTTCCCTCACCGACCACCTGACTTGGTGTTTTCACACTCATATAGTGACCGGACCAATAATCCATTTCTCTTGTCTTACCTCTTTGATTTTACTTTCACTCTCACTCTTCTGGCCTTTTCGTTATCTCCCTTCCCTTTCCCCCCCTCACTCTCTCCACCTGCAGTCAAGCTCTTTGAGGTTATAGAGACCGAGAAGACTTTGTACCTGGTAATGGAGTACGCCAGTGGAGGTAAGTGCGTGTCACTGTGAAATCGCTCCCCCTGAGGCTCGGCACTCTATGTTCGAAACAAATGGTTCCCAAATGAAAAAGCTGCCTCTCCTGGTTCTGTAAAGGGTCCTAGGTAGTTCTGCTGGTAATTTTCCCGAAGGATGGATATTAAAAAATATTTTGTTTGTTGACAATCTCCTTAACCCTTTGCATTGAAAAATACTGGCATTGTAAATTGTTTGTATTGAATTTAAATGGCCTACTTTGAAATAAAAATACTTTCATTGTCACCTTGACCCAATACTCTGGCTTTAAGGACAAAAGTATCCGGCTCCAGCACTAAAAGTGCTCTCCTCTTCTCCCTCTTGTCTCCCAGGAGAAGTCTTTGATTACTTGGTGGCCCATGGCAGGATGAAGGAGAAAGAAGCCCGTGCCAAATTCAGACAGGTTTGTTTGTGCACTGTTGCTTTAAGGCATAGTTTATGTATACAGTTTTGTTACAAAATTGGGCAATATCAGAAAAATAAACATTTTGAATTTTTATATTTTCATGATTTCATATTTTTTTTAATATATATTCTTAAATATAAACAGTTATGGGAATTACTTGTATTTGGCATCCGTACTACTTCCTTGAGGTTGCTTTCTGATAAACTCTTAATGGACAGATGTGTCTTGTTACTTTCATTCATTTTTCCATTGTTTCTCTAAATCCATCTCCTCTTTCTCACTCTGCAGATTGTGTCAGCGGTGCAGTATTGCCATCAGAAGTGTATAGTACACAGAGACCTCAAGGTGAGAACACACTCGCATTATTAAATTAAGTTGCCGTGTCAAAGCCCAAGCGAGCAGGCTCTCTGTCTCGCTCTCTTTCCACATTAATGTTCATAGGATTGACTTTTTGAGATGGAAATCCTGACCCCATGACCTAGAGGTAAATCCTAAAGATGATGTAATGTCATGCAATGGCATGAACACACTTAACCATACATTCTCCTATTGTATTCCCTATAGGATAATCCTCTTGTCTGTTTATTGCCAAAAATGAAAACACACACACACGTTTAATGCCTTCAAGTCATTTGGGTTGGTATTATTATGCAAAGCTGTAAATCCTCTTATTGTGCCCTCAGCTAGACCTGCAGATGAGACATTACCATGATAACTGCTACAGTAACCATACAGGAACATCTCATCTCCAAGTTACTTTTATTTGTGTATTTTTGGTGAACATTTCCAATGTTTTGACCAAGGCCATTACATTTTTTCTATGCTTTCAGCATAGAGTGAATGTTGCAACTTTTGTTAAACAAAAATCAGGGAAAATGAGATTTCTGGAGGTGAGACAGTTCTCAATTTAATGCGTACCATCCTGCACATTATCCTAATCGCTCTTCATCTGAGGGGTTGTGTGTTGAAATCCAGCAATGGCTTAAACTTAACAGGTCGGACACTAGAAGGTTGGATGGGCCTGCTGCTCAATGAGACTAACAAGCATAGAAGCAATCTTGTTCTGGATAGTTGAGACGGCCGTGTTCTCTAGTGATGGCTCGTTACTGGAAGTGCTATAGATGATTTTGATTTATTTGATTAGGACAGAGCTTAGAAATGATCAGTCTCGTATTTAATGTCCACGCACTCAAACTCGCGGAAGCGGCAGAGTATTCAGAGCAAGTGAAAAGGAGAGCACACCTGTTGCTAGGCAACCCCAGCCTCCTTGCTCGCTGACCTCCTTTTAGTCTTAGGGATAGAAACGTACACTCGCAAGAATAAATTGTGGCCAGTCACTTTGCCCACCGCGTGCTACTGGTAGGCCCCCACACCATTTCTCCAAGAAACCCCTCCGTCACAGAGTGTCTTTTCCCTCACAGAGAAAGACAACTGTCTGTGGAAAATATTATTTTCAAATGAAGCTGCATTTCAGTACATCTTTGTTACAGTAACGCTGCATGACAGGGTGGTCAATATAGCTTTTAACCATATGTAGCTCTGACCTTACTGTGGAGGACATACGGTGGAGGCAAAAATATTTATATTATAATGAAATATTACATTAATACATCACACATTCCTTATGAATCCCACTGCTCTCTCCGTCGTCGTCATCATCATAATGTTTTTGTTTTTTTTCTCTCTCTCACACACACTCTTTGCATGCAGGCGGAGAACCTGCTGCTGGACGCAGACATGAACATCAAGATAGCAGACTTTGGCTTCAGTAACGAGTTCACTCTGGGGAACAAGCTCGACACGTTCTGCGGCTCTCCGCCCTACGCCGCCCCGGAGCTCTTCCAGGGAAAGAAGTACGACGGGCCCGAGGTGGACGTTTGGAGCCTGGGCGTGATCCTCTACACGCTGGTCAGCGGCTCGCTGCCCTTTGATGGACAGAACCTCAAGGTCAGGAAGAGGAGAGAGAGTTTGTGCGTGTGTGCGCGCGCTCATGCACATTATATAAGCAGCTGTCTATATTCTGTGGGTGGTTGTAGTATTTGTCATTCTGGTTTCTGTTCCTTCTTCCCTGAAAAAACTGGAAATAAGAGACCCGAATGTGTAAAAGGGAATAAATGCTGACACGTGTTTCTGCTTCAAATGGGGTTTTTGTGGTTTGATGCACCAAACCAGTTCCTTTGAAACCGAGAGGATTTAAAGCTTTCTCTTCACTGTTGTTTTTCACATTTACTCATAGCACCTCTCACATCCTGCGTTCAGGAAGTAGCGACATGAGTCACTCTTGAAGTCAGGACACATTTTAGCCGGGCAACATGGCTTGGATGTGATAATATTGATATTTAGGTTTATTGAACCTTTCCACCACATTATTTTGTGCGTGTCTTGGTTAAACACTTGGTTAAATCACAGTGTTTTCATTTCACTGGACATCTTAAAAGGTTTTTGCTTCTTTGAAAAGGGTCGATTTGATGCACAAGCATAACTGCACAAGTTCACATATCATTTTGTTAGCCGTAACACTCAGTTCTTAATTAGATAATTTCTATGCTAATTCAATGCTTTACAATGCACTGAGCTCCTAACATAAATGGTTACATACATTACAGCAGTGATAAAAGCTGTCACCACACACTCTCATTGTTCGGTGACTCATTCAATTAGAATCATAAATTCTCTCCGGTTTAGGGTTGATGACTTCAATGGCACACTGCTCGTGTGTGTGTGTGTGTGTGTGTGTGTGTGTGTGTGTGTGTGTGTGTGTGTGTGTGTGTGTGTGTGTGTGTGTGTGTGTGTGTGTGTGTGTGTGTGTGTGTGTGTGTGTGTGTGTGTGTGTGTGTGTGTTTGGGGGGGGGGGGAAGCTTCTGAGGAAGACCACAAACACTGTCATTTATTTGTGAATGGTAACAGTATGTTCTAAAAATGTCAGACAAACTGTGGTACAATACTTTATTGAGATGCCCTCCAGCTGGTGTTAATGTGAAAGCAGTACTTATATTACAAATAATGTCATCATTTGTGGAGTGCTGCTCCGCTAATTCAAGGCAGATGATTATTAGTTCCGTTCGCTGCCACAACAACCTGAGGGTTTTTGTTTTTTTCTGAGGATGAGGAGCGAAACAGGAATGCGTTTGTTTGAAGATGTCGCTGCTGACCTTTCCTCCCTGTGTACGTCTCCAGGAACTGAGAGAGCGCGTGCTGCGTGGCAAGTACAGGATTCCCTTCTACATGTCCACCGACTGTGAGAACTTGCTCAAAAAGTTCCTCATTCTGAACCCTTCCAAAAGAGGCAGCCTGGAGGTACGCCGCACACACGCGATGATCTCGCCACAATTCGTCAGACACAACCGCTCATACATGATCTGACACAACTGAAAATTGTCCGTCTCTGCCACTGATGTTTCAGTTGCTTATCTAACGCATACAGAACCATACTGCAAACCCAGACATGCTCCGTCACCTATTTGTGAGTTTGTTGCTCAAGTGTAAAGTGCTTTTTAAAGGCATAGTAAATATGTGAGACGGTTTGGGAGTTATGAGTTACTATATTTGGTGTCACTGAGTGGTAATTGGACCGTAACTAGTTTTTAAATGGAAGTTTCTAGCAAGTAAAATAAATAAATAAAGAACACAAGGTGTATAATTATTTGTTGCACAGCAGCAGATTCCCATTAACATTATGGATTAAAGACAGCCACTACTTTTGGGTTTGGCCTACTAAATGTTACAGCAGCCTTATACGTATAGAAAGAAGACTCAAGCCTCAGTGTTGGAATTTAGTCCTGTGACTATTTCATTCACACCCAGCCTTAAGTCCTCCCTTCACTTTTTACCCCACTGTCTTGATAAATAACGTGGAATTAATGAATTCAAGTCGGACTTCTGCCTCCATTGCTCCCCAATTTGTCTCGAGGCGACTCCTTCGCTCCTTAACATTTCCTCTCTCTTCTGCTTTTGGCCCCTCCTGTTGTTGTATTATTTGAAATCTTATATCTCCCTGTGTTCCTTTGGTCTGTGTTGGCTTGCTCCCAGCAGCAGATAATGCGGGACCGGTGGATGAACGTGGGCCACGAGGAGGAAGAACTCAAACCCTACATCGAACCCCAGCCCGATTACAAAGACCCCAGGAGGACAGGTACTTGTTAAGGAACACACATCTAGTCCCTTCTTCACCAAACCACGAGCACACACTTCTATTCTTACCCTCCACTCACACGCATGTATCTGCTGGAGACTTCTGGATCTACTGGAAGTGCACTTTTCTAATTCCAAACTCCTCCTGTGTGTGCAGACATCATGCTGACGATGGGATTCTCTCAGGAGGAGATCCAGGACTCACTGGTGAACCAGAAGTACAATGATGTGATGGCTGCATACCTGCTACTGGATTATAGGAACTCTGAGGTTCACCGATTCTTTCTCGCACCCGCACAATTTTATATTAATTAGTATCGTGCTACTATTGGCTCTTTTCGCTGCAGTTGTACTGCTGTTATACAGGAAACCTTCAAACAAATCAGCTCTGGTGAGCTCATTATTATGTCCATGTCATCTGGATTTCATAAATATTTATGATCAAAACACTTCAGTGTTCTCAGAACAGTAACATTTTTTTAAAGCTCTATATTTATTTGTTGCATCCACAACAAAGCCTCTCTGCGTCTCCTCCTGATACTCTCATTTAGATTTTCATGTTTTTCTTCGTCCCTCAGCTGGATGAAAGCGGCATCAAGCCCCGGCCAGGAACTGATGTAAGCAACTCAAACGCCCCTTCCCTCCCTCACAAGGTACAATGAGAACACACAATGTCTTCTGCTATCTCACAATGAGGTCCCCGGCTCCAGCCAGTGGCACAAGTGACTCTTTGGCAATCTTCTCTGATCTAGCTCATTTTTAGGCGTTAGATTGTTGACCCCCTCACAGGTACAGGTGAACCAAAGCAACCAGCTGTGTTGTAACTTTCACGTATGAACAGCCCTATAGATCAACAACAACAACAACAGCAGTTGCGTGTGTGTGTGTGTGTATAAATATTCTCACAGATCATATTACACACTGACCTGTATGTCTGCTTTGCCTCTCTAAGGTGCAGCGCAGTGTGTCGTCCAACCAGAAGCCTCAGAACCGCAGAACCACCGACCACGGTGAGAATGTTGCGTGTGTCCGGGGAAAGGAAGCTGTGTTTGGGATGTTTACAAGAATGGGACGACTCGTTGCAGCAGAGAACTGTGCCGTGGACTTCCATCCCGTGTCAAACAGAAGGGGGATGAGTGGCAAACGGAACCCTTTACGCACTGCTAGGCTAAGCTAGCTGCTAGGCTACTTCAATCTCAACATTCATCTGTGCGTCTATTGAGAGATCTACATATTTTTAATCTTGGTGTATGCTGGAATGTTCTCTGGTTTCACTGGATCAGTTATAGCAGTTAAATAATTGAAAAAAGAATCCAGGCATTCAGGTTTTTAAAACAATAAGTTCTGATATATTTTTTTTTAAGTCTGCATGAAAGAAAACCTGTCAGAACTGAGTGATGATGGACACATGACCAATGAGCGGCAGAGGAGTAGGGCTGAAAATCCCCCACGGACGGGATTGTCTCTTTTTTTAAACGCTCCCCCTCTTCCTTTTTCTAGGCTCCTCCTACTCTAAGAGGGGGGAACGAACAGACCGGACTGCAGGAGAGGATACCGGAAGGAAAGGTTCATCGGGCAGCTCCACTACCAAGGTGTCGGCCAGTCCTCTGGTACCCACTGACCGCAAGAAGAGCGCCACGCCCTCCACCGTGAGTTCAAACAGCCTCACTGTCCTGATGCAAAGCCCATGAGTAGTACATTAGTGCATCATGGCTGTCATCGCCACACACACACACACACACACACACAGAACCACAAAGACAAACTGTAATAATAACACACATTGCAATTTGAGTAAACCAAAATTAGCAACTTTTTCCAAATGCGGGTTGGTGGGAAGACGTCTGCATCTGCTTGGAAATTTGAGAGATTTAAAAAGCTTGTTTTTGTTTGGAGAGTCTTTAGTGTAAGTTAAGGGCAGGCATATATCTTAACCTATGGTCCAAAGATCAAAACCACTGCTAGTTACTAATTGAAAAATATGCCCATATAACTCTTCATAGTGTAAGGAAGTAGAAGTGTGCTTCATGGTATTTGTGATTGACCTTTTGGTTTGAAATTAGATATTTTTCCTTTGCCACATCATAGTTAACTGATTTTGGATTTCTGGACATATACACAACCCAAATATTGTCACGTTGTTGAAACAGTTATTTTCCCTTTTCAAATCAAACACAACTGTAGAAACGTAAATCATTTCTGTAAGTAGATGTCTTGGTGAACCGTAAAAATGTGACCATGAGCTGTCATTTAACAGCAATATTACTTAACGAAACCCTTTTTAGGTATTTAAAAGCAGACTCTGTGTGCTATGTGACATTTACAGTCCCCTCCCTCTTCTCAGCTTCTGTGCAGGCTGTTTTTGATTGACATCCTTGACTTCTATTATTTTTATCACATAGCATGTGGACTTTGCGGACATTATGTATTTGCTAGATACCTCCACCCATCCTCGCGCTGAGCAGATGGAAAAGGGCAGGGCCTATTAAATGGCAGTTAAATAGAATACTCCAGATGAAAATGAATTTGTCATCGCTTGATTGTGCAGTGAAGACCTAATCAATATAAGGCAATAAGGTAATTTGTCTGTGCTGATTGAGACACTCTCTCGAGACTGTTAAAGTAAAAATTGGTCACCTCTAATTTCTCCATCCTCTGACGACTGCACTAATTTCCCACTGTTGTGAATTCTGTCCTTGGTCCGAATTGTTTCTATACATTCTTATTTTGCTCTCTTGTCCCTCTCAGAATAGCATCCTGTCCACCGGTACCAGTCGCAGTCGGAACTCTCCTCTGACTGAGAGAGCCACGTTGGGCCAGGGCATCCAGAACGGAAAAGACAGGTACACAGACAGACATATGTACATGTATACATACACACACAAAGGGGGGAGAGGGGTGGGAGATGTTTTTCAAAAAGATACGTTCAATACAATCGCTCTCACACACACACGCTCTTGTCACCAGCAACTAGTTGCAGTGAGGCAATCTTACTTCCTCACACACACACACACACACACACACACACAATATAAAAACACTTTTGATGGTTTGTGAATGAAGTCGTCCCACAGCTGTCTCAGTGACTGGATCCCAGACCTTGGCTGGTACTCTCCAGCGCTCTGCCAGCTGGCTGAGGGAGGGCCCACAGAATTACCCCGGGGTCGGGTGAGCCCTCCTGGACGAGGAAATCGGGCTCCCTTGAGAATTTAGGCCAAACCTACAGTAGATTACAGATTACTCACGATGGTTGGATGGAGGCTGGCCAGCTAGAGCGGAGGCAGGGCTCCATGGGCGCTCGCACGCTCCCACACACACATACACACACACACACACACGAACAGGCTGACAGTCCTTTAAACTCTTATCCTTCTTTCTGTTCCTTTCATAAAATATTATTTTCAATGAATCCTCACTCCCACAAACTGAGTTTTATTGGTTTAGGCCCAAAGTCGAATCAAGGAGGGAGGGTGTGAGGATTTAGCCTGCGCAAAACTGGCCTCGGTAAAAAAATAAAAGGCAATCATATTTTCGTAGTAAAAAGCATTATTGTCTCTTTAAGAAATATTTTCTACAATACAGATAATGAGATGAAGTCTACCATTTGCTAATGTCAAGAAGTGATATTACCCAAACTTTCTAAATCCAAACAATGGACAATTTTGGAGTGGCCTTATTGTGAAGTTTGCCCTCCTCGTTTTAGGCCCTAAAAACACACCTGTGCGCAATATGCCGTTAGTCCCCGAGTTAGATGCTCGAGATCACCTGACGCTGAATACACCTCATGCGCGTCCCCGCTTTCCACCACGCGCACATCACTCACACGTAACCAGCCATATGCTTTGTGTGCTTCTTCATGAGCGTTTAACATTAAGCCAAAGGCATAATCCTGTGTTATGCTACGGGGCAGTGCTCATTGTCATTACTGCTTCATTACCTGTTTGTGAATCAGTCTCAAATGCCCCCATCGTTTCCAACAGAGTGCACTACTTGCAACATAAAATATAATTGGCTCCATGTTCAGGCTCGTCAGTCTGATAAGTCATTTTTCCCTTTTGAATCATTGTCTTTCAGTTTGAGCACTACGCTTTGACCATGTGGTCATTTGAGACGGCATTGGGTCTTGTTTTTTAAGCACTGTGGTTCTATTAGCTCTGCTAACTTAGTGGTTGTCATCTGCTTTCATTTTAAAGTTGAACTTTTTTTTGATCATCATTAATGCTTAATGCAAAGTTTTGGGCTTTTATACTTGTTACCCCCCCCCTCCCAAACTCCCCAATTTTCCTTCTTTCCCTTTTTGTATTTTTCTAATGTTCTTTGTTTGGTGTTGTATCTGAGCTCTTGTCCTTCCACGTCTCAGGTCACTCACATTTCTCCTTTTTCTCTCCCAGCTGCCTTTTTTTCCTTCTTGTCTTTGTATTAATCTTTCCTCTCCTTCTTTCTCGCCCCACTCTCTAAGGAGATTAGGAAGACTTGTGATGGAATATTACCTCTTACTGGCACCGTATGGTCTCCGTACGTGCCTCTTAATAGGCTTACACAAAAATATCTACACACACACACACACACACTAAGGCTGCACACTTCGCAAACTCCATGAAAAACACACATGTATACATACATGTCACACGTGCTAAAACTCTTGCCACACACCGGGTCGCCCAGTAAATGCTGTTTTCTTTCCATCACTGGCCGTACTAACCTGTCAGAAGCCGGGTGCGTTTGTCTCAGCTATGTGTTTGTGTTGTGTGTTATTAGCCGCTGGTTGGTTGACCTCTCTCTCTCTCTCGCGCTCTCTCTCTCTCTCTCGTTGCTCCTTCCTCCGCTGTCTCTCTCTCTCTCTCTCTCTCTCTCTCTCTCTCTCTCTCTCTCTCTCTCTCTCTCCCCCTCTGGTGCCACTGCGCCCTGTCTCTCTCTGTGTTGGTTTCGGTGTGTGGATAAAGTCAAGTTCAAGCTGTCAGTAATGTGCGGAGCTTTGTTGCCCGTGGCAACCTCGCCGATTAAGAGAGGGTTCAGGAAATAGGCAGTGTTCTTTGCTTAGGTAACTAAATAAGCTTCTCGTTGTTCCCAGATATAGTTGAGATTGTTTGCTGTAGGAAAGAAGGAAGGAAGGAAGGAAGGGAAGAAAAAAGAAGGGTGAAATCCATAAAACCCTGAGTCGGAGTGACTATCTGACAACAGGACACTGACCACAGCTTTTATTTCCTGCCAGAAAAAAACTTGACTCTACTTTAATTGTAGAGAGAATTTCTTACAAAACCTTCCAATACAACGTGCTTCAAAAAATATTAGAAAGAAGAAAGCAGCAGGGAGTCTAAGCTAAATATTAACACAACAAAAGGCGTTCGTAAGAAAAACGTGGTTGGATTTAATTTTACTTCCAACTGTGCTGTTGATATATTTTTCTAATATTTAGACCTGCTGGGGAGGACTTGTGAAGTACTTTAAGTACTTACTTGGTGAGTCGGCTGTGCGCTATATATCTATCTAGCTATCAAGCTCACGTGGATTTACACAAAAGCACGAGAATACCGCAAGCCTTCGATCGTGGCGTGTGATTGTCCTCTCTTCTCTATGAAGCCACCATGAGGCGACATTAGCGGCGAAACATACCGACTTCTCTTCTTCCTTTCGCTCTCTTCTCAGTCTCTTTTTGTCTCTACCCCCTCCCCTCTCCCTCCCCCTCCTCCCCCCTCCCCCTGACCGGGTTGTTATAAGTGCTGCTTCTAACCATGCTCCACCTCCCCGCCCATCCACACACAAACCCCGCCCCGTGTTTGTGATTGTGTGCGTATGTGTGTCTGGGTGTGTTCGTCGTGTGTCTGTTATGTTTTTGCGGTCTGTCTGCATATATGTGCGTGTTTGTGTGTGCGTGTGCGTCGGGCGGGGCATTCCTCCTGTTCCTCCTCCCCCCTCCCCCCAGCCTAAACATGCCGGGCTCCCGCGCCTCTACTGCCTCGGCCGCTGCCGTCCTCTCCTCCTCCTCCTCCTCCTCATCCTCGCGTCCCCGCCACAACAAGTCCATGTCCTCCTCCAATCATCCATGCCCCTCTGACCTGCACGCACCACGGCCCAGGCAAGTCTCTCTCTCACTCACCCATCCACTCACACACAGACGTGCTCACCGCTCCATCGGCCCCTTTCAGCACGAACCACTTTACTCAGGTCGTCATACTAGAACTCCATGAACAGAAGTAGAGATGAAGAAAGGATTAAATGATTTGTTGGGTCTGAAATCTCCATCACGCCTAGATTAAAGACTACCATTGTTTTTTTTAATTCCCTTTTCAACTCCACGTAACCCCACGGATTATTATGTTATTGAATATTATTTAGAAAAAGTCTAAACTATATATGTTGTCAAATCTCGCAGCACCAGTATCTTCCTCCATAGATTTATCCTACAGAAAGACCAGCCTTCATGGATTGAACAGTTACTTAGCAACAGACAGGAAGTAGATTGTGGAACACGGTGTGGAGACGTCTTGTCATAGCCAGTCAGTCAGTCTCAAACCTCCCACCACCCGTTGGCCCACCACTGATCAAAGCTTGAACGATGTGAGCGCCTTTTCTCACTGCGCTGTACCTGCACTGCAGGAAAAACGGACACATTCAGAGAAGAGACATCTGTGGACCGGCAGGGAGCAGATACACGTGGGAGTATCAATAGCAGACCAGCCCTTATAAATGCTTCATTATTGTCCGTCTTTGCAGGGAGGAGTGCTTCAAAGTAAAACTTGTTATGTTGTTATTAAAGGGACAAAAAGAGCAAAAATAAAATCCTCAAATTCCTCTTAGCTTTCGATCCACCAGGCTACCGGTGGCACAATGTTAATTTAAAGAGACAGACATTGTAGTCTCTTCAGTTTTACTGAGGAAAAAGTACCTTATTCAGCACCTCAAATGACCCTCGTTGACATTCACAGGTAAGTTCTCCAGCTGATTATTAAGTCTGTATCAAAGGTTGGATGGTGTCACTATCCAGCGGTCACTGCGTTACGCAAATATACGCTTAAAATGAAATTCTCTAGACTGTTTCTGGTTCCCACAGCCAGCGAGTGCTCTCATTCAGCCTCAATGTGACTCAACCCTGTTCAGTTACGGGATCGCCTTGGAAAAGCCCGTCTCCATCTGCTGACCGTGAGATGGCTGCCAACGGGGCGATGGCCTAACCATGCCTCCTTGGCTGCCTGTGTCAACTCCTGTCTGTGTATAGTTGCTGTGTGCTCGGCTTCTGTGTGTGTGTGCTTAGTGTCTGCTGCATGTACCCGGCCACCCCACCACACCTCACCCCACCAGCCAGATGTCACAATATGCGTTGGCAGGTCGTGAATATGTTCTGCTGCCACCTTAAATACTTTATGCTCCAGTGGCATTTCCCTTGAGCCGGACGGAGCTCTGCTTTTTTTGAGCCTGTTGTCTAGTTACTATACAACCAGACTAGACTCTTATGACCCCCTCCCCCCCCCCCCCCACACACACACACACACACACACACGCACACAAATGTCAGGCTGACATTCCAGCAAAGCAAATGTCAAGGTGGACCTGTGGCTGTATGTGCTTGTGTCTGCTCTATGTTGAAGTCTTGTTCTGTTGCACGTTGTCGTTCTGTTGTCGTTCAGCGGTGAGGTCGAGTTGTTCAGAAGCTGGTTGGGAACGCCGGAGAGAAGGTACCTCTCCAACACATAGACGGCACCCCGAGTGACGAGTAGGCCCCTTTTTCTCAACGCAGTGCCACCCTTTCTCTGTTGTTATCCAGCTGCCCCCGGTTACCCCTCAAAACCAACGTTTCAAATACCATTGGCTTCGACTTCCGTGGTTTTAAACTCCCTGTTTTGTGCGTGAGTATTCATGATGTCCTGCAGGCGCCGCCACATTTTTGTAACGTAACGTAGCGTTGTTAACTACACGCAAATCAAGTGCGCCTCGTATGAAAATCATCCAGCTTTCACCATGAATACACGAAGCGTGCCACACCCCTTCGATGCTCTTATACGTCACAAAGGTCGGCACCAAGCCGCATGCGTAGAAGAGCTGTGTCTTTGTGTGTAATCCGTCCTCCGTGCACAACTTCAGCCCATCTGCATGGAATCACAGGATGCGCTGAAGCTGTTCATCACATTCCGACTGCAGTCCTGACTGACGGCCACGGACGTTTGTTATGTGGTGTGACTCCCATTGCAGCCGTCCAGTCTGCTCCTCTTGTATTCAGTGTTCTTTTTAATGCACCTCTTACAATTTGTGTGCTTTTGCCCTCTCTGCTTTCGAAGAGCTGCTGCACTGCTGCTAAGGCACCTGCGTGGCAGATGCGCACACACATTACATAGCAAATGCAAACCTTGTGTGTGTGTGTGTGGAGGTTATTGATGCTTTGCCCTCCAGTCAAAGCAAAGAGGATTAACTGTGTGTAGCGGCGTGTGTGTGTGTCAGTGACCTAATGTGACTCTAAATATTGACTGGAGGGATTATATGAGACATGAGGGTGAGCAGATGTTGAGCAGACATAGATACTTGTGTGATCTCTCTCTGAGGGTAAGTAGCACATCAGAGGGAAATGATTTCCCTCTTTTAGTGTCCAGTCTAACTCTTCCTTCCTCTACACTCCCATCCCCTCTTTTATAACTTTCTTCTTCCTTTTCTTTCCTCCCCATTCTTCCTCTTTCATACCATTTCTTTTTCTTAACTCATATGCTACATCTTCTTTTTTCTGCCGTCTCTGTCATAACACCCTTCAACCTATTCCCAATTCCTCCCCGATCTTCTCGCACCTCTTTCTTCTCCCCCCACATTTGACCCCATCCTCTGTATCACCTTTTTTCCTTTCCGTCCCTGGCTCCACTTGGCCTTGTCTTTCCTCTCTGCAGTGGCCCAGCTCAGCGGGCGCCCGGCGCTTCCCCATCTGCCCACAACATCAGCAGCGCTGCCGCGTCGGACCGTACCAACTTCTCCCGAGGGGTGGGCATCCGCAGCACATTCCACGCGGGCCAGCAGCGTGGCGCCCGGGACCAGCAGGGCTCCGCCTACCCCGGCGGGCCCGCGTCCCCGTCGCTGTCCCATGGCAACAGCCAGGCCCGGAGGACGCACGGCGCCACGGGGATCTTCAGCAAGTTCACGTCCAAGTTCGTACGCAGGTTGGTGGCAGACATAAGGGGGGGGGGCGGAGGAAATGGGACGTGTGATTGGAGGGTTTCCATTATTATAACCCGAGCGGTAGTTGTGAGACGGGAGAGGATATGTGGCAGAAGTTTGTAGCTCAGTAAATGCAGAGTCGTCGTGGTAGCAGCTGCTCTATTTATGACCCCGCTACTTTGCAGCACACAAGTTCAGCTCGATGCCTTTTCGGAGTATTGAGGTCTGAGCTCTGTAGAGAAAATGACTGGGTTTACGTTACAAGTCATTTCATGTGCTCTGTTCCTCTCGGGGACAACGCGCCGTACGGCCGTGTCATCTCTGGTTTTCAGAGTATTTCTTTAAAGGAGCTGCTCTCGTCTCACCCCTAAACTCGTGCTCATCTGTAACTCCGCTGAGAGTAGGACGGGGGGGAGAACAGCTGCGTCCTCTCTATAATTTTGTTTGGAGCAGTGGTGACCAAGGAGTAATTTTGGTTTTTGGTTCCTCATCTGGCCCTCTTTTTGTCTCCGTCCTCCACTGTGGGTTGCAGCACTAAAACTACTCGTATGGGTAACCGGTTGTAATTAATGCTTACGTTTTTTTATTGAGATTTTTTTAGATTGTTTCCGGAAATCGGCTTTGTAGCTTTGATCAGCTCTGCTGTATAAATGCAGCAAGGTGGAACAATGTCATTGTGATTATTAAAGGGATAAAATGACATAGTTTTAACCTAGTCTATGAGTACCGTGTAGTTCCATTAAGAAAAAGCCTCGGACATAGTTTCAGTAAAAGACATAAGCACGAGCAGTGAGTCCGATCGTGGTATTATAACAAGAGGCCGCCGTCCGAATGGAGGCTGCGGGGTCAAAGGTGGCAGAAAAGAGCCGGGCTGAGAACGGAAGGCCAAGTGAGCCATGACGTACCGTAAAGCTCACACAACAGGTGAGGTTGATATATTTCAATTGCTCTAGTGTGACCTGGCAGCTCCGGAGTTTCAATCTAAGGTGTAAAGTGTGTGTGTGTGTGTGTGTGTGTGTGTGTGTGTGTGTGTGTGTGTGTGTGTGTGTGTGTGTGTGTGTGTGTGTGTGTGTGTGTGTGTGTGTGTGTGTGTGTGTGTGTGTGTGTGTGTGTGTGTGTGGCACAGCTACTCCCTAGCCCTCCCACTCAGAGATACTGTAGCTCCGCGGCGACGGTATCCATGGTTACACCGGAGATATCACTTTTCCCTCAACTATAAATACTGCTAGTGGGGACACCTTGACACACACGTGTGTGCGCACACACAGACATCTTAGCGCACTGGCAGGAAGTAGAAGTGGTGGAGACAGAGATTGTGTTGCATTTGCACGATTTAACCACACACACACACACACACACACACACACATATGAACTAAACGATGTGCTTATTAACATATCACATAACCTCAAAACTGCATTTGATCTGGTGTGTGTGTGTGTGTGTGTGTGTGTGTGCGTGTGTGTGTGTGTGTGTGTGTGTGTGCGTGCGCGTGCGCGCGTGCGTGCTAGATTCAAAGGTCCTCATTGTGTGTTAAAGAAGAACTTGTTGCTTAACCTGTGCATTTCCATTTGAAATGAGTCTTTGTCTGTGTATAGCAGTTGTTTTCATGACCTTTTTTTAAAATGTTGTCACTTTTGAGCCCCCACACACATACATACACACACTTCTTTTCAGGATCGCAGTGTGTGGAGGAGCGCTTCATTTCATGTTGGGAGGGGGGTGAATGTGTTCAAACGGGTTCTCTTAATGAACCCCCCCCCGATTGAAAGTGAACCGCAGCAACACTGATTCTGTTTGATCCTTTTGTTATGTAATGTTGGTTGTGCTTGCTGCTTCAATCCCGTATGAGCCAGAGACATGTTGGTCGGTTTGCTTTAAAGTACAACTCAGAGGGCAGCTTGTCTTCTACAAGTCATAAATCTATATGTTTTTATATATGCGTTTGTTTCTCTTTCTTTCTTTCGTCCCTCTTTTTTTTTTTTTTTTGTAGAAATCTCTCGTTCAGGTTTCCGAGAAGGTAGGCAACACCCCCAACGTTAAATATAACCCCTATATATACGTATATTCTCTTCTTCATATATATATAAATATATATATATTTATATATATTTCCTCCCCATTTGGTGTTTTGTGCAGCTTTTTGTTGATCTTCCTTTTGTTCCTTTTTGAGCCTCATCTTTTCTCCTATTTTTATTTTTTTCCTGTGGTTGGCCTCTTTTTTTTGAGCCTTCTGGTTTTGCGTGCCTTGTTTTGCCCCATTTTTTAAAATTAATTTCATTTTTTTTTACTAACTTTGCCCTCACCCGTCCACCCAGCCACCGACTCACTCACCTAACTCACTCACCCCATCATGATGCGGCACAATAACACCTCACCCATCTTCCTCTTTGTCCCTACATCGTCCCGCCCACCCATCCTCTCCTCCTCATCCCTCCTCCACCTTCCATTCATTTCACCAGGTAGAGTGCGTGTGAGCTCGTATCCCCCTGTAGGGTACCAGATTTAGGTCATGTTGATGTTGCACTAGATCCAACCACTCCCTTTCTACTCTCACCCCCCTTTTCTTACCCCGGACGCAAGTGCTGTTTTTTGAGGATTAAAGCCTCTCCAAATCATAGAAACTGGTGAAACTACTAATTTCCCCATGTTCATAAGCACGTGAGAGAGAGAAGAGAAGTGCCAGGATTGTCTTAATGTTGCTAACCAGAATCCAAGCGAACGCCACGTACCAAACTACCGCCCATCTAACCTTTGCACTCATTGGTTCGGCCCCTGGTATCCAAGTAGAGACCGGACTTGTCTTTCTAGTTTCTGGTGCGACTTTGTGACGATCCCACAGGGGGAAGGGATTTAAAATAAGAAGTCCGTCGTTAGTAGTGATGGAGGAGGAGGAGGAGAAGAAGACACGGGAGGGACGGGGCAGCAGTGTTTCTTGAGCTGCACTCTTTTCTGGAGGCTGCACTTCTTCTTTTTCTTTCATCGCTCTGTTCTCACGCCGGCACTGGCTCTCTAACACCAACAACAACAACAACAACAGCAGCAGCAGCAGCAGCAGCAGAACTGGATGGCTTTGACCTACTCTGACTGGAAAATACCTTTTTATGCTTTTACACATTACACACACACACACACACACAGAAGACACTGTAAATTTACATATTTATGCACTGAGGCACATTGAGGTTAACATGAACACACATGTGGTCTTGTGTGCATATGAATACATTAGGATATATCTTACATTAATGTATGCACATGCGGAACACACACACAGACTGGTTGTTGTTACCAGCAGGTTGAGCAATGCTCCTCGTAATGTGGACCATTGCTCCACCTGGTGGTTAGAAGTTGTCGTGCGCTAGCAAAGCCAAAAAGTCACACTCGTGAAATATGAGAGGGAGTAGTAATAAATATGCCTCAATAAATATATGTGCATGAATCTGGGACAAAGGGGTTATTGTGTTAATGAGCAACATGGATCGCGGCCTGTATTTACAATGCAGCGCTTGTAGCAAACCAGAAAAGAATAATCTCATCAGCCTTTTGTTTTCCCTTGAAGCCATAGTTCCCCTCCTGTGGGAGCCATTCTGCATCCCCTCATATTTAGCTAAATCATACACGGCTTGCAAAAGGTTTCATTAATTTTACATTGTTCACCAGTTACCTCTATTATTTATTGTAAAACTGTTTTTCCATTCTGACCTGTCATTTCCTGTGTGCTATATTTGAACCATATTTCTGTTGCAGAAGTTACTTCAAATGATGTTTTGGTTATTTTCTGAATGGGTCAAAACCCGTTTCCCACAACCGAATGAATTTAAGACCATAAACTGTTGAATTTATCATCCTCCCATCGTCTGCATGTGTTTACATGTTTTCTGTCTTTGTCTTTCTGTTGTTTGTTTTCGAATGTTGGCAGTCTGCTGGTGTGAGAGAGACTACGCGTGTGTGTTGTCTAGGATTGTTAAACAGCCTGTGTGTAGGTCCAATGTTACTAATGGAGGTTTCAGTGCCGCGCTGGGGTCCATAATGAGCCTAACCGCCTTCAGCCGCACCACTCGCCCTCACTGTGCCGACCGCTCTGTTCCAAACCACTCCGAGTCGTTCCGTTTCACGTTTTGTCTCCAGCATCCCATTTTGCATGAGCCCATTCCGAACCATTCCATCCCGATACAAGCCATTCCCCATTGCATTGCATTCCCAACAGTACATTTTGTTCCTCGTCGGAAAGACTCGAATTCGCATGTGAAAAAACATTTCCACTAACATCACATTGTTGTCCATCAGGCGCTTGGCCACACAAGCTTTTTTGTGAAACTAGTAGTTATCAAAAGGACGTCTCATATTAACGTAAAGAGTGGTCGTTTCAACCCGTTGGACGCGCGTGACGTCTCCTCTGTGCTCGCTGCGAATGAGATATTTGGCGCGAATGCCTCGACGTGGTCGGATTGGAACATTCAGGACGGCACGGTGACCCGGCGCGACTCATTTGTCTTTTCTGTGTAAGAGTCCCAAGTTGTTTGGCTTAAGCCCTCAAAAAGACTAAACTTGTGTTGATTTTTCTCGAGGAGTCCGTATGAGGGAGAGGGTCGGGATGAGGGCAGCAGGTGAGCTACAGAGCAGCCCAGAAAAAACCTCCTACAAACCCCCAGACTCTACCGAAACCCGCCTGCCGATCAGTAGACTGGAAGCCAATCAGTAGATGATCTCTGAGCTTGTTGTGATTGGCTGTGAGAAGGGGGAGGGCGGGGGGGGGTCTCGAGCTGGGATGTAATTGGTTGGTGGTGGTGATAAAGACTTAACCAATCAATGGGGACGGGAGATCAGCAGTGAATGGGAGCATCCCGGAGGTTGACCTGCATGTGTGTGAGTGTGTGTGTGTGTGGGGGGTTAATCAGAGTTAAAGTACCCAAATGTGTGTTTGTGCACTAAATTAATTGTGTGACCCACACACACTGATGTAAATCTGAACCGCGGCAGAGCGATGCACACAGACACACATACGGGTACTTAAAGGAATTATGCTTTTCTTTTTTGTCTCCATTCATTTTCACAACCTCATCATCCCCCATTTCTCTCCTCCTCTTTGTCTCTGCTTAATCTCTCAATCCTCACGCTGTTAACTCTTTTTTTAAAAATCTTTCTTCTCCCTCTCTCTTTGCTTATTTCTCCCTCACCCTCCTCCTCCTCCTCCGCCCTCCCATCCCCTCCCCTCCCACAGGTCTATGCTGAGCAGCACGGTGGACAAGTCGGAGAAGACGTCAGGCGGCGTTCTCTCCTCCACCAACAATGACGAGAACAACTCCTCCCCAGGATCTGTCAACACGGGTACGGTTACTTCTCCTTTTAGTCAATAAACACAACTGTTGACAACGGTAATGACGTCATCCGAATTTATGATAACAAGTTTTTCAAAAGCCATTGCTGCTCGCCGGTTTATTTTGACCAATGAGAGAAGGGTGCTCCATCTTGATGGCGGTGAATCGACTCATTGGTCGCGGTTTTAGCCCAAAGGATCTTCTCTGCGACATGACTTTGCCGGTGCGCACTGTTATCAGTGTAGTCGAGGCTTCAGTTTATAGTAATCGATGATTATTCAAGTCATTTTATGTCTGTCTTTGTCATTTTTCACTTTTAATCCCTTGCTCACCATGTCCTCTCCTCACCTCCCCCCTAATTTCCTCAGGCGGCACCGGCACCCCTCCGGCCATCGGCGGCCAGAAGGACCCGGCCAAGCCGCGCTCCCTCCGCTTCACCTGGTCCATGAAGACCACGTCGTCCATGGAGCCCACGGAGATGATGGGCGAGATCCGCAAGGTGCTCGACTCCAACAGCTGCGAGTACGAGATGCGCGAGCGCTACATGCTGCTGTGCGTGTCGGGCAACCCGGGCGCGCGACGACTTCGTCCAGTGGGAGATGGAGGTGTGCAAGCTGCCGCGGCTCTCCCTCAACGGCGTGCGCTTCAAGCGCATCTCGGGCACGTCCATCGCCTTCAAGAACATTGCCTCGAAGATCGCCAACGAGCTCAAACTGTGAGCCGCAGCGGAGCGATGAGATTAGAGGGGATGATGATGCTGTAAGCGAGGTGGAGGAGGGAGGGGTTTCTGGAGGGGGGCGGAAGGGGGGGGGGGGGCAGGAGGTGAGCTAAAGGGTGGGGTCACTTTAAACATAAAACGGTTGTTGTCTGGACAAAGGTCTGAAGTAGGGCTTCTTTTCTATGAGTTTTGTTCCTTAAGTTCTCGAGGCCCTGCCGTTAGTTGTGAAGTTCTTCTTCTCTCTTCCCTGCTGCTTCATTTCAGTCCTTTTTTCATTTTTTTTTTTTTGTCCCGTTCTGCATGTTTGATCTGCTCTCTGTGTTCCATAGTAGTCCCACTTTGATCGCTCCGACCACTCCTGTCACTTCTTCCTGCTATTTATTCAGTTTTCCTGAACCTTTCTGCTGCCAGGTCGTTTTTTTGGGGGGGGTGGAGGGGGAACAGGGTAAAAAAGTGGAGGATGAATGGCTGGAAAAGATGTGGCAAAGACTGACGGAGAGTTCGGAGCCTCGTTTTGCTGGAAACCTGATTTGTTTTGATTCTCCCCCAAAACTTGATGGACTCAAACAGAGCCGGGACTTTGGCTGCTGAAGCCCACTGTCTCTCTCTCTGACACACACACACCGACTTTGGATGCAGATGGACTTTTGACTGCTGCCGTCGGTTAAAGGACCCTCTCCTCTCCACCCCCCCCCCCCCTGCACAATAATGAACTTTAAAAAAAATCCCCCTGTCCCACCTCCTCCCTCCCCCGTCCCCTCACACACTGTCTCCACGAGCTCTCTCCATCTAGTTTCTAGCTCAGCACAAACACATCCATCTCGTTTTGCCTCGTCACTCACTCCTTCTTCTTCCTCTCCTCCCTTTGCCGACAAGTGTGAGGACTCCAGTCAGACTTGACGACGTCCTCGATTGTCTTTGAGTCAGTACTTTTTAAAGTTTCTTTCTTTTATGGCTTTTAAAAGAATTGTGCACTGGAAAAGAGGGGCCTATGGGAAACTGGGGCGGGAAGGACAGCCCGTGGACGGAGGCTGTCGATGGATTTTATGTTGCCTTTTCATTGTAGAATTCAATTTTGAGTTTGATTTTTGTTGTCATCACATAAATGCTTGAATCATTTATTTGTACCTTAATGTCGGTGTCACATCGGTTGGCATCACGCCTTCATATCCAGAATGTCAACCCTGAACCGACGCTACTTGTACGCCCCCCCCCCCATCACACACATCTGCGCTTTACTACTCATGCGTTCGCTCTTTAGAGCAAACGCACAAAAAAAGGTGTCTTTAGAGTACGTAACAGTGTGTGTGTGTATTATTAAAGATCACTGGAGGGGAAAGCAACTACAACAAAAAAGAATCAACGGTGAATTATTTTCTTCTACTTTTGATTTGGTAATATATTTTTTGTGTTGGAAATTTGGGGTTTGTACAGATTTGGATTCTTCAGGGCGGGAAGGGGAGTAAGCGGTGTGAAGGGTCACGTCGGATCATATCATTGCTGCCTTTTCAGTGTAGTGCACCTTTTTAACACACACCTCCATAGCGTATCGGATTAAACACCACCCGCCCCCCCCCCCGGCCCCACACGTGCAGGCATCATTGTATTTAACGATGATGGTGGTGGCGACTACTGCTCGTTCTGATGTGTTCTTTCCTTATCGGCACAGAAAGCAGGAAAGACTTGTTGGCCAAAGCGTCGTCGTATCAGAGCACATGTTCACGTTCTAAACCACCAACCAGAAGACGTCCCTTCCTTCGTCAGGGCAGATGGAAAACACACGGCATGGGAGGGGGGGGCTGCTGAGCAAAGGGCCGACTGCGATAATGCTGGTTGTCCCCAACTTCTTTTCTCTCACAATGACACACTTTTTATTTTTAGTCTTTTTTTTTTTCTTTAAAAGTTGATCATGTATTAAGGTGCTGGGTATTGGATTCTAATTATTATTCTGGCTGTCATATTATCTCTTTCAGGGTTGATTTTATTTACATTCTTTCGTTTTACATTGATTTAAAATGTGTTTTGAGCAAACTGTAACTGTAGTGGTGGGTTTGGGGTTGGGAGGAGTGATCAGCTCCTGCAAAATGTATTATGTTTGTTTTTTTGTGCAAAGACAAAATGATGAAAAATTACAACGATAGTAATAAAAAGAATGATATAATCTGCCTCTCAAATCCATAATGAAAACATTCAGATATAGCCTCTTCTCGCCTTGCAGGTCCCATGACCTTTAAGTACATCTTGTGAACATAATCTCCCAAATAGCTGTTTAACTGCTTCCTGCGTAGAATATACAACTGGGTCATTCAGGTGTGCAAGAAGTATTCCCGAGGATCGTGACAAGTATACATGTAAGTTGTTTTCCCTTTCCGCCCTGTGACGTCACATCTCAAAGCAGGATGCTGGTCATTTAAGCAATAAGGTACGAGAGGCTGTACTTTATCGTCCAATAATGCAACAGTTCGGGGGTGTTGTTGAAAAACCCCGAACTGTTACATTATTGCTTTAATACGGTTACCAGCAAAATTGTAAGTAAATAGTCTGCCTTAGTCACTAAACGTTGTATCGCATTTCAGTAGTCTAGAGAGAAAATAGTCCCCGTACGTGCACGTAAACCGCATCGTTCACCTTAATTGTCCGGTTGCACATTGCCTGAAACCGGTTATTTTGGGGCGATCGCCACCGAGCTGAAACGTCAACTAACAGTCGCGCAAAATCTAACCTGTTACTTTGAGCGCGCCGTGATACGGACCGCTCGGGTCAACGTGAACAGGTAGTGTACATGGTCGCTGAATGATGAACACCCCGTGACTCACTCAACCAATCAGAACGCTGGATTCCATCTACCCGTTTTATAATGGTCTTTAAGAGCAAACCGGGTTGAGAGCTGCAGGTGAGCGATCATACTCCAGATTTCCATCCATTCTGTTGAGTAGCAAGCCTAATTTATTTAGATCCTTGCCATCACATGGTGTGTGTGAATAAACCGCTCAAACATGGGCTATTAGGTCATTTCTTTATTCTAAAAAAAAGTGTGTCAAGTGTGTGTCAAACAAAAACGAGTCAGTTTCCACAATGTAAACAACTTCTCACATAACAGGACACACAAACCGTTATTGGAAGAAAACAGTTAAGATAAGTCCAAGCTATGACTAACAACACTTTTTAAAGCCAAACGTAGCAATGGACCCAAGATTGGTGGAGAAGCACTGAACACTGTTAAATACACAGGACGCGTGGACCCCGATCCGCTTGTAAAGGCGACGAGACAGCCGGAAACGTTTAAGTGACCACAAGAGATTCTCCTTCAGTCGCGTGAGTATCAGCTCAGGGATTCAAGAACAGAAAGGGAGCGTCAGAGACGCTGGAATGATTCAACTGGCTGACGTTACACGACAAACATCTGTAAGCGACACTGAAACCTGCGGGTGGACAGGAGAGAAAGCTGCCTCATCTGGACTCAGAAAGCAGATGTTTCCCAAAAATCATTTCTTTAAACACCATTTATGTTTTTCTATTTCTCCTGTATGTAACATGTGGGAAGCAACAACTTCCCAGACACTCCTTGGAGACAGTGATTCTGTGGACAAGCTTTTGAAGCAATACTTTGGCAGGACATTTTATTTTTTGAAGCAAGACCATCTGCAAGGTGAGGCATCCCCTTCCCTTTGTGAACCTGCTCAAAAGATTCTCTATGCATTTTCCACAGAGGCCGACTACTGAAATGTTAGCGGTAAATGACGTAAACTGCTCATTCTCCTCAGTCAATAATAAAGTATGCACTATCTAAACTACTTACAATAACTAACTGGCTGCCTAGGGCCCACTTTTAAAGTCTAGTCAAAAAAGGGAACATTCCTCCAGCTAGTACTAGTCATACATGGCTATGAGAGCTTCTGTTCAAACAGCTTCAACCATTAAAAGCTGCGTCGTAAACTCGGCACGGCTTTGAGTCTACGGTGGTTTTATTTGTTTGTTAAAGTTCCCTTTTCACTCCTACGAGGGTCCACGTTTTAAAGCAAGAAAAGACCCGTCACTTGGACTCGTCCACATTGGGAGGAGCAGGCTTGGCTATCGTGGGAACTCGTTTTTTCTTTGAGTTTCCTGAAGGTTGTTTGCATGACATGATCCCTGCCCAGGTGAACCTAGTGTATATTTGCGTCTCTGCAATCCAGATGTTCAGCAGTTGCCATGGGAACCAGCAGGTGGGTTTGGCCCTCTGCAGTCATGGTTTTCTTTTAACAGCTCGACAATCTGATCTCACGTTGTGTTCAGAAGTGTTTTAAGGGCTGTGTGTGCACAATGTGGAGGTAGGTATTTGTTAGTACAGTAGAGGGGCTTCAGCTCACTGCCTTTCTAAGTGGACCTCGGGGTCCTTACACTCTTACTGCATTTGAAGAGTTGTGATGTCCCTTTGGGGACATGAGCATGTCTGATGGATCATGTGGTGATTTGTAATGGTGTTATGAACCTTGACTAGTAACGGAACTCTTGAGAGAAAGCATTGTGTGTGTTTGTATTCCTAGAGTAATGTGTATGTATATACATATACATATCAATGAGAGTTGGGCTGCTCTACTTTGAGCCCGACCAGCGACGGGGGCATCTGCCCTGCAGCGGAGGAGGAGCTGGGAGGAGAAGCCCTCAGGCTGGAGCTCCCACCGGAGGAGGACGAGGTGGTCACTGCAGGCCGGATGAGAGGAGGCGGAGGGTGGTTGTGGGGCGCTCGGTTCTGGAGCGGACGTGTCTGCAGAGGAGGGGGCTGACGGAGGAGGCTGGGGGGAGCCGAGGGAGGCGCGGGGCGCAGCAGTGGCGGGGGCTGGGAGAGGGAGGAAGTGATCTGGGCGGAGGACGGAGAGGAGGAGCCGCCAGTAATGTCTGAGGGAGAGTCCTCCATCTTGACCTGAGGGGAGGAAGCGGAGAAACGTCAGGAGAGGGAGGAGGGGCAAAGTGTCCAAACCACAGAAGAGATAAGGAGAAAGACGGTTGGAGAAGAGTTGTTAGAAGACGGAGGAGGTGCAGAGACGAAGAATTAAAGAGATAAAAAAGGCGACAACGTGTATATACAACCACCTGCTCCTTCCGTTATGTGTGTGCACACACACACACACACACACTTTCTTTAAAAAGGCAGAATTCCACCGGGTGGAACATGTTGAAGTAGCGACTCCTTTTTAATGTGATCAACTCTCCATCGTTTGACGGCTGTGTTTAAAACGCCATCAATGTCCCGACATTTAGCCAGGACAATTTCCAAACCACTGTCTTTTAGGGACACCGTGGTTCATGTGTACATGGAAGCATGTGGAGATGGAAGCAGCTTAGCAGCGACCAACATGTTTCCGGGCACTGGGTTTGCCACTCATCCCCCTTCTGTTTGACACGTGGAGGAATTCCTCCCCCCTGAATGTCACGCATATGTACATATCAAGGACCCTTCAGTTTGGGCTGTTGGACGTGCAATTAAAAGCACCACGGAGATTGGATCAAACGGTACTAAAAGCAGCCTTTCGTTACGCCTCCTCAGAATACCGCAGGGGTTTTTACCCTTAATGGACTTTTATTAAAGAGGTCATTATGGTTTACAAGAAAATGAAGCTTCAACAGATGGAATAGTTCTGCATTTTGTAGTAGTAGAGTTGCATAAAAAGGCCAACATTTTATGCTATACTTTCAAAAATCGACCGATGTGTGAATAGAACTTCTTTGCCCGATTGAAGAGCTCAACGTGCCCTTCATGTATCACCTTGTCCTCCTCAGCAGCTCCTTCTGTTGCTGCTGCTGTGTCCTCGCCGCTCCTCCGTGGGTCCCTCTGGTCTCGGCTGGTGGCCACCTGCTCGGCCGCCCACTCCCTCAGAACCTCATCCAGGTTGAACCTGCGCCGATAGCTCACGAAGAACGAACTCACCTGAACAAAAAGGCGGAGATGGAGAAGAAATGAAGATTAGTTTTCTAGACAGAGGGATGAGAGGAAATGAAAATCAGCTCACAGAGTAAACGTCATGGTGAATAAAGTGAGGTCACAATAAGAGACGAAAGATGTCACCGGCACCAACGTTTGAGGCAGCGGATGCTCACCTGAGCCGGTGTCTTGGTCCCGATCACCTCAGCGATGGCGGCAAAGTCTTTGCCATAGCGACGGATAGCTGGAGGAGAGATGGCAGAAAGGCATCAGGTTAATATTGCCTAACAGTCTGCTCTCTGCCTCCATCAGTGTGTGTTGAAAGGGGATAGTGAGGCGAACGGGCTTGATGATGCGCGTGTTTTCTGTAAAGCCAACTTACTGAAGACAGCGGCTTCTGTAACGATCAAGTGCTGTAACCCCTGAGTGAGAACAGTAGCTGCTTTACTTCTCCAATGACTTAAATCCAATTAAATCCAAGCTAGAACATGAATCCCAGTCGCTCTCATCGCCAATGCATCAAACTACAAAAAGGGCAGTACAATAGAAAGACTAAACGCATCATGGCTGCAAATAGACAGTTGTTTTATTAGGACTTGAGTTTTGGGTCATCTATTGTGCAATATGATATACATTTTAATATTGAAACATTTTCTTTTTTCTAGCCAACTGAAATGGAGCACATGCATCTTCTGTGTGTGGAAAATATGAATGTGTCGGGATGAGAAGCACTGGCAACATGAGGGGAGGAAGACTTCACTCACCCTGCACAGCCAGTAGCTGCTCCTCTGTGGTCCAACGAGAGTTCATCTTAGGGACAGGCTGAGGGGCAGAGATTATAATGTGAGGGTGGAAAGGAGGACGTAAACAGGAGAGGTGTGAAAGTGACAGCAAGAGAGGGACGATTAAAACTAATCTAAGTGCCGCAAGGGGGGAAATAATATCTTGTGGGAGATGGGAAGTGTAGAGGGAACATGCGAGAGGACAGGGACAGATCAGAAAATGAAGACATGCGAGTGTGCGAAGGAAACTAGAATCCAGGAGGGAATGAATGAAGATAAAACAAAGATTTACCTCAGCAGGTTTTAAAGTGTCAACACCTTCAGTTAAACTCTGCTTTAAACTACTGTTGTTCTGTTTAATAGACTGGACCTGAGAGCAGAGAGACAGAGACAGGGGACAGCGCAGGAAGTTCATTAGTTAGTTTTCCAAAGCGCCTTCTGTTACGTAAACATGCATTTACAGTGTCAAATTATGAACAGGTATATTATGGAAGCGGCTTGTAAAATTGTCATAGTTGTGAAAGACAAAAACCTCTCAATGAGAATGAGTTACTCAACACGTAGAAATGACTATTTATTGAACTATTGTTGCGCCACAAAGCTTAGGAGGAGGTGATGCACACCCTTACTGCCAGATACAGAGTTACACACACATTAGATCCGGTTGGAAGCATCTTTAGAAGGTTTTGGGGTGTTGGTAGGACCACTAGCTGTCTGTATGTGTCACTATAACGGCTTTGTAGATGACAAACTGAGTCTACGGAGGTTATTTGTTATAGTTCTACGTCCATTTACACCTTTAGATCAAATATAAAAAAAAAATATTAAAAAAAAGGGCCATACCTGTCTCTTGAGCGACACCAACTGTGTGTCCAGCTGTCGGATAGTTACCACCCCGGCATCGTGAGAGGCTGAGACCGACATGATATCTCCCTGCTGCAGGTACATGCCTTTGGGGGGCCGGCGGCGGGCTCTGAGCGGGTGGTGGCGGTACTGAGCCCCGAGGCTTTCCTTCTTCACGGGCCCGGAGCGACTTAGGAGCGCCTTGTCCGAGTTGGCGTTGTTGGGGTTTGGTTTCACTGCCTGTGTTTCGCAGGGAAGAGGCACAAATATAAGAAATAAGATTCTGACAGAAAGAAGCACCCTTCCATTTATATATAATAAATGAAGATGGAATTGAAGGATAGACGAGGCAGTGATTTGGTTAGGATGATTTTCTCAGGCAAGTCATGACTAATAAAATACACAGCAAACGGTTTAGTTTTACATTGCTCACCTCTTTCTTGGTGTCAATCTCAAAGTCACTGTCGCTGCCAGGATCTGCTTCCTCAACCTCATCATTACTAGAAAGAGTGAAAAAAGAATTAACTGAACAAACCCGTGATAATTATCGGCCCCTGCTAACCAAAATGCTTGAATGTCATTGAACGACAAGAAGTAATATCAAAGTGTCTGATTTGTATTCACGAGGCTCTGGTTTCCCAGGACGAGGTGACACATGTCGTTCAGCCGTGGAGCTCTGTAAATGTCACTCCTCGGAGGAGTAGATGCTGTGCACTTATGTTTCCTCCCCGCTCGGTCCTTCCTCCAATATTCATTCGTCCCTCATTCTGTGCCCCCACTAGTCTTGCTCCCTTCGGGGGACGATTAAACTTTCATGGTGTCTCATACCTATCTTCTTTCTCTCTCTTGCTGATCAGCCTCCTCGCCTGACGGTCCATGACGGAGGTCCTAGTCCTGGTCTTCTTCCAGCTGTAGTAGTACTTCACAAGGCTGGAGATCAGCTTGTCAGGAAGCTACAGGACAAGATATATAACATTACATATTGATAGTGTTTTCTATAACTGTACCCCATAGCCTTTGTGTGCGTGTCTCTCACCATCTGCTGGATGCGGTGGAAGCTCTTGCCGTGGAAGCTGAAGGCCTGCTCAAACAGCACTTTGTCCTCCACGGTCCACTCGTCTGGGAAGGGGGTGAAGTTCGCCAGGTCAGCAAGGGAGCGCTCCACGTCATGTTTGTGCCATAATAACATGCCCAGAGCCTGAGTGGGCGGACAAGCAGGGACAGGAAGAAATAAGAAGACTGAGACACAGACAAGCAGTGGAGAGAGAATGATCATTCATGCATTTTTATGGGTCAATTTTGATTGTTTTGAAAATCAAATGCTCCTTTGCTGTAAGTAAGTAAGTATGCAGTCTGCAGCACCTGCTCCATGTTGTATCCATGCTTCTCTTTAGCCATCAGGATGTACTCGTCCACTGGGATAGATGAGAGGAAAAAAGTGGGTTACAATGTGAACAAATACCAGTTAAATAATCAGATATAAAGGAAACAGGGAAGAGTGAAAGGAAACAATAGTCAGAAAGAAAGATGCCGACCTTCAGTCACATTGTTAAGCATGGACCAGTATGGTATGGTAGGTTAGAGTGTGTGTGTGTGTGTGTGTGTGTGTGTGTGTGTGTGTAGCTTACACATTGCATCAGAGAGTTGGCTGTTGGGACACCAGACCAACATGCTCCTATGGTCCTTCTCATTATAGCGGCTTGGACTGTCTTGTAGTGGAAAAAACAACAACGCTTTTTCAATTTTTTTGAAGCGTCAAACACATCTAGGTTAAAAGTATAAATAATAAAACTGAGCTCTCTCATCTGCCTTTGTTGGAGTCCTAACATTTAAAGGGGATTCATTTAAGACACTTTGGCCGCGTGTATTAAACATCCGTATTTGAGTTGTTCCCCTCACTGATTGAGGACAACGTCTGCAACACAGTCGAATTCTCCATCTTCTGGAGAGAAGGAGACAATAGTAACTGGACATTTGACCTTCATTTTCTCTCATCTGCATTCCCCTTCTGCCTCCATTTCAATGTCCTCCCAATTTCTCCTCACCTCTACATCTCCAACAGGTTTCCCTTCCTCTATCTATCTGTTAACCTTCCCTTTTCCCATCTCTGTCATCTTTCACTCATGCGTTGTCTTTCGGCTCACCTGGTTTGAACTCCGGTATCGGAGCCTGGTAATCTCCTCCGACTCTGATCATGCTGTCTGTAGAGAGCGACAGAGAGAGACACAGTCAGTAGATTCTCCCAAGAAGTTGCGGAGCTGGATAAACTGGATCACACGAGACAGAACGAGAGTCATCTACAGCGTGACAGAGCGACAACAGCGATCATTTGATATGCTCTGCCCTCTAACAGGTCTCCCTATGCAATAGCAACGCTCGTCAGAGGGCAGGGTGTGTTCTTTCAGAACTGGAGTTACGTCCAAGTAATTTATTCCACTTGGGAAAAATTACATACTGCATTAGTTTGACCATCTTCCAGCGAGGATCCCAAGGTCACAGTTTGTAGATTTAGATCCTAATACGACAAATTTAGTTTTAAATATGTCCAGATTCTGATCACCTACTTGCATTTAATAACTTCATTTTCCCTGACGCTCAATGAGCCTAATATTACATTTTACAATCTTTGGTGGGGCCCCTCCACTAAAGCCCTGCAGTGAACCCTGGGGACAAAGTTAGTTTGCAGAAGAGCCAACCCTCCGCAAGTTGTCAGCCTGTGAAAAACACTGAGACTGCTTTTAGTCAACTATTGAAATTCTACTGCTTCTAATTGTTTTGAAAGACTAGGAACTGCTGAGTGCGTCAGTCATTACTTGTTCCATTTACTTAATCGTGCGGTGCTCTGTTTACAGAAGAACAATTCTAATTAAAACAGAAATAGCACAGTGTGATGAATAACTTTAGGCGTACTTTTCTTAGCGGTGATAACGTTTGCAGCAAGTGTAAATTATACAGACAAGACAGATGGAAGGGAAGTATGGCAGCGGATGGTAGATTAAAGTAATTAGTGCTGTGGTATAAAGGGTAGAAGGCGAGGAGTGAAGAGAGACTATGGGATGGAGGCAGGGAAGCAGGCCGGCAGGGGGAAGAGCCAGATTATGATTTGGGCTCTGGGAGAGACGATGGGTCGGGAGGAGATGATAGAAACTGGGGTATCTGGTGACAAACGGGTGTAGACGGCAGGGGACGAGTAAGCAAACAAAGACTGGAAGGGGCATGAGATAAAAATATATATAAAAACACAGCTGAATAAGATTCAAGTCACTGGTCAACTGAAAGGGGATGTTGCGGGCCGGGACGGAAGTGGGGGGTCGCGATAACGTGAGGGGTGGAGTCTTTTTTGAACCCTCGCGAAGCTTTCCAGTTGAACTGCCTGATCTACCGAGATATCTTTAGTCCACGTGCCGTGTGAGACAACGGTTCAAATAAGAGATCAAAAGACAGTATGTGAGGAAGAAAACAGGGACGGAAAGCGGTCTGTGGGCAGAGGATAATTAAGATGGATAAGTGTGCGTAGGGGGGCTCGGGTGTGCTGGGGGGGGCACTGTGAATGTACTTAAGAAGCACTGCAGCCATGCAACCGGAACAGCAGACAATTTCGTACTCTAGTTCAGTGTGTGCGCGTTTACCATGAGCGTGGTCCTCGTCGCTGCTCTCCTCTTCGGAGTGGGGTTGGCTGTTGCCGTTGGAAACGGTCTTGGCTCGGCTCCTGGACAGGACCCCGGACCCCGAGCGCTCCATCACCGAGGGCATGGCTGCAACAAACAGGAGGACCCCTCACATGTAAAAATGTCCCCATGTGCACGCCACCGTTGATGGATACAACGCGGCTTCTGTCTTATCTCGGATTAACCTCACATCACTGAAGCAAATCGGCAGGTGTTTGGTTTCACTTGAAACCCCATAAAACCTCTTGTAAAGTAAGACGGCACCGTATGCTGCAAACTGTGAGGCCGTCCCGTTACTTTCCCTCGAGCTGGGTTTTTATTTTCCTCATTCACACTCTCAGTCCATCTCGCCTTGACCCTCGTCCCCACTCAGTAGCTACAACCTGGTTGCCTAAGAATTGATGTACTTCCACTTGGCATTGACAACAGCACACAATGCACGTATTTTTGATCATCACAAGACAAACTGATTAACTCAAGTCTGCCTCTATTGCTCCAGTTAATTAAGAACGTGCTCGTCGTGGGGGCACCACCCACGAGCAGAGCAGAGGGCTGTTTAGTGTCTGAGAAGGTTTGCTTGAGAAACCCTGGCGCATACATGCGCTGTTCCCTTGTTTAAATCCGTATATACTCCACTGCGTGCAACTCAGTGGAATCATTTCTATGGAGGTAACAGGATGTAATGATTTAAAAAACGTAGCCAGTCGTAACTGAGCGAATGTAAATGCCGGCTGACAAAAGCTTCTTATTTAATCTACGTGAACTGATTGCCTATAGTGCCGATAACAAATCCACTCAAGGGCAGTAAGACGGCTGCAATTCGGTATCAGTGATATCGATTCGTCGGGAGCATCACTGTAATCACTTTATTTTAGACATTGATCAAGTAAAAAACTTGAGTTGGCACCTTAGATTCTAAGAGTTCAGGCTTCTTATTTGCTGACATTTTACAAACCAAGTGGTCAAATGATTAATTGAGAACAAAATCATCAAATTGGATACTCCAACACCAGCATAGGAAACGCTCTGTGACCCAATAAGTCAAAGCATTGCTGATTATAATCATTTCCGTAGTTTGTGTACTTCCACAATCTTAAATGTGAAAATTTGCTTTGTTATGAGGTTAGCTAGCTGTATCAACGATGGGCCTTTTCCACCCTTCTGACAGTTTCCAGACCAAAACCCTGAACATTTCTGTGCACGTGAAAGACTAGAAAGACGAAGAGTGAAAGACTCATGCACAATCACAGTTTTCGATCAAGAACTCTCAAATGCGATGTCCTATTTTTAGCCTGACATCATTTCAAGTCTGTAAAAATGAAACGCCATGCATCACAGGGGGAAAAAAAAAGTCATGTCAGAATCTCTAGCAGACCGTGCACAAACACACGCACGCGCAGGCTCCCGCATCACAACAGCAGGCTGACAAGTGGCAGCATCTGAAAGAAGGAAAAAAAAACGTGCCATGGAGAACAGGAGGGCCCTCCTGCATGAAGGGGACTCTTATTTTGAGTGTCATCCACAGTCTCCCCGTGCTGTATCATTACGTGGTCGTGCGCGCTCGCGTGCGTGCGTCTCCGGGCCAGCGAGTCCCGCACGGCGGCGCGACAGACTATCCGGTCAGCTCAGGACGCGGCGTGCAGAAAGTAACCCGCGGGTCACGGTGTAAAAGCACCTGACTGGAACAAAGCCCGCACGTCGGGGTTACGTGACGAACGGGGCGACGTCGCCTCGCCCCCTCCGCCCCTCCCCGATCGTGAACGGTGGTGCTTCTTCCGTGTAAAGGGAAGAAGCACCAACTCCGGTAGACAATACAAAGTGTCTGGGTCGCGCTTTCTCTCTGGGGGTCTTTGTTTGTCGCGGCTCCCGGTGCCCCCCTCCTCCCTCTCTCCCCCTCTCGACCCCCGAGCACACGACAGATGTCCCCTCCGAACTTCACCGAAAACTCGCATCACCCGAACAGAGCCGCGTATTCACGTCGAATTACGTGCGTCGCCGTGGATTTAAGTTTTGGTGGAAGTCGCTGAAGCCTCTTAACCGCCGCCCCCCTTCTCCCCCAGGTTCACTTTCAGAGAGGGGGGGGAAGTGGTAGCCTCGGACACTGCTGCGATAGCCTCGAACTCTGGAGCCACTACTACAATACATAAAGGGGTGACGTTAAAACGACGCGGTGTAGTTGTGTAGTTTGCGTTTTCTCAACCAGCAGCGTGGGTTTAGTAATTCGATCCACATCCTCTCACCACCGCGGGGAACTTCGGGCTCTGCTCCTGAACTTTGATATATCAAAAAATATCTGACAACCGTGGTTCATCGAGTTCAGAGGGACATCTCCAAATAAGTATATATAAATATAGAATGTGTTCTATATCATAAATCATTTATTTGTAGTCTGGTCCTCCTCGCTGCAGCATTTTGACTCATAATGAAAACACTAATAACATTGTGCCCAAGAATCACCAGATTACATTTTAAGTGACCGTGTAATATGTTTTTTTAAGTAACGTTAATATAAGAATTGTATGATGAGTACAAGCACCCACAACCATTTTTTTATTGAAAAATATTACTTCAATGTGGTGATTTCGAATCCGGCGCTTTGTCTTTTTAAACTACCAATAAATATGTCCTTTCTCATCCCAGACAGTCAGTACGTGTTGTGTGTCAAGACTTTGGGAGTCCTTTTGTTTTCCTCCACGCGTACCTCGCTGTTACTTCTCCTCGCGGCCACCAAGTAAAAACAAAACTCGCTCTTCCAAAGACTCAACGGCTTCTTAAGCTCCGCGCGGCGGCGCGAGGAGCAATTTAACTGGAGGCTGAAAAGCCGCAAAACCAGGCGACATTTTCCTCCCCTTCCAAAAGTGCAAATCCGGAGTCAGACCCGGTTTGGCGGCTGGGATGCTAACGCTAGCCGGCTAGCTTGCGGGCTAGTTGCCCGCCGTTACGTTAGTAACGGCATTAGTTGGAAGTGGCGATAAACAGTCCCGCTGTACCTGTGATTCGTTCCCCCTCCGCTTCGCCGCACTCAGAAACTTCTCCGCGCCTCAGTCCGCGGCTCGTAATCCTCTTACGGGAGTGCGGGAGGAGAGTTATCGCACCTGAAACAGCCCAATTCTCGCCTAATTGATGCGCTCCGTCAGTACAATGAAGTGAACAGCGTGGATAGATGGAAGCAGCCGTGTGTGTGTGTGTGTGTGTGTGTGAGAGAGAGAGAGAGAGCCAGGGGGGACGGACAACACCCGGCGAAAAGTGAGGTGGGCATCCGCCCCGATGCCTTCGCCTCTCCCAAACCAACCAGCCGTTTGGATTGACAAAAAGTAGTCCTGTAAAACTATTACGGGTATCCTACTCTTAATATTGGAATGCATTACGAGACACATACTGTCACGCGCTGTGTCTTATTCAGCAGCGTGTCGCACTTAAAGGCTGCCGGGGCAGGAAATAACAGTTTTTAAAAACTGCATAATCTACTAATTCCCATTTAGACCATCATCCGAATTGACCTCGTTGAAACAGAAGGAGAAACATGGCGCAGTTGTGCTTTGCAGAAACAATAGCTGTAGTAGACTTTAATCTGACATCTATCAAATTCCCATAAATTAAGGACTACTTGCCAGTGTGTCGGCGGAGGGATTCGTCAACTGTGCATCTCTGTACTGAGGCAGGCCAGACTTGCTATGGTGCGTGCGCGTGCGTGTTGCAGAGAAGGGCACAACTGAATATATAGCGCGCGTGAGAAAGCGAACGAGCCTTCATGACTCAGATGAATAGCTTCAATCCACTTCCCTCGTTTTGGGGAGGGTTTAACATCGAGCAATTCAAAGAGCTCTGCCTTCTGACACCGTGTGTGTGTGGGGGAGGGGAGGGGGTGTTGGCCTGCGCACGTGATGGTGCACAGGTGTGTGTGAGAGTTGGATAGGGATTGTTTCAGTGATGGCTGCGGCTGGGTTCCTCACACCTGATGCTGGTAATAAACACGGTGTGTGAGAGAGAGAGAGAGAGAGAGACTGCTGACATGTAGCAGCCTGTTCACGCTCCTCCAGCTCTCTGCCTTTGCTTCTCCTTTTCACCAACTCCTCCTCCTCATCATCATCCCAGCTCTCTTCATTTACCTTATCTCCCTCTCCTCTGTCATTTATTCGTCTCCTCCTCAGTCCAGCTTCCTGCTCCTCATTACTCCTCTCCTCGGTGCCTACTCCCGCTCCCCGTACTTCTTTATTTCCTCTGCCCTTGTCTTCTCCTCTATCTTCTCCTACTTTATCCCGCCTCCTCCCCTTTCAACCCTTCAAAATAAATATCTGCCCTAATTCTCCCGCTCCTTCCCTTCTGACTGCTGTGCCCCCTGATTTTTTTGTTGTTGTTTTCTCTTTCTCCTCATATTTATTCTACCAGCCCGGCTCTCCTCAGTGTCTCTCGCCCTCCCTCCTCTGCTCCCCATACTTACTCTCTCTCTCTCTCCCGTGATGACTATATTTCCTTCCTGCCTCTCTCCTCTCATTCCTCCTCTTCATCTCCTTCCTCGCCCCTCCTCTTCCTCCCCTCTCTTGCTATCTCCCTCTCTAATGTCGCTTGCCGTTTCAACAGTGTGTGTGTATGTGTGTGCGTACGTGCAAATTCTTCCCCTCCCCCCATGGTGATACACTAGGCTAAAGCAGTTTCGCTTCGCTCACCTCCACCCCTCTACTCTTCCTCCCTGCAGAGTCCCATTTTCACCCCTGCCACCTCGTTCCCTGTCTCCTTCCTTCCTTCTTTCCTTCCTTCCTCTCCTCATTAGTCAGCGTCCATGAAACTCACCATTCCACTATCTCTCGTCTCTCGCTCAGTCCTCCAGTGCTGAACTCATCCTCACTAATGAACAACTGCGAGTTTTCTCCCCTCCCTCCCTGCACCTCTCAGCTCTCCTTTTCTCCTTCTCTCCTATTTCCTCCACACCTCACTTTCTCTCTCTCCTTTCCTTCCCTCCTCTCCCCGCTCGGTTTCTCTTCGATCTCTCGGAACTGTCCCACCCACTCTCCCTCTCCAGGTCACTTCTGCTTTCCAATCCCTCCCTCCCTCCCCCACTCCCCGTCGCCCACCTCCTCCCTTCGCTCTCCACCTGTCTCCATCCTCTTCCTCCTCCTCCTCCTCCCCATGTCTATCCGTTGGCTCTTCTCACATTTCGTCGGAAGTGGTAGACGCAACTTGTCCTGCTGTGTTCGTCGAGTAGCTGCTGTCCTGGTGGACACACAACACACACACACACACACACACACAAACACACATACAGTGAATGAGGCCTCTCTTACAAAGCCGACTCGTTATTGTGTGATTTTTTTTTTTGTGCCCCGGTTGCTAATGAATCACCGCCGATGTCGCCCACCATGACGCATCCAGCTGAGTCAACCTGTTATGACGTATGTAGATCGCAGGACGGCGATTGAAGCGAAATAACGTAGAACGCAAAGGTAACGCGCGTCTGCAGCCTGTGGCCGTGTGTAGGGCCTGAAGACACCCTGCAGCCATGGAGATTGTCCTTCCTGATGCTCCACCCATTCAGTTGGAGGCATGCTGAGGTGGAGGTGTCGGTTGGAGCTGCTCTGGCTGCAGCTGTGCAATAATGACTCTCGATTCCACGTGACCCGCTAAGTGGAGTCTACCAGTTGGCTTACAAGGTATTTAGTCATATGTTGTTTCAACAAGAGGAAGACGGGGACTTTTACGCAAGCTCACAATGTGAAATAATAATTTTAAATAATCCATGCCTGAAAACTGCATGATAATCCATCTTTTAAATCACTTCAAATGACTGCATCTGTTAGTAGCGCTAGTACTGTGTGCAAGGGGGAGATACCACGTGGTGACACTGTGCAACCATTTCTTCTCAATTGAATAAACACGCAGGATGAATGCCCAGTCTGTGTGCTGTAATTCAGTGCTGCTGGGCTCGCTGTGTGGAGAGAGGCCTCATCCTCATCCACCATCCTCTGGTCCTTTCCACGCCACATCTGTTGCTTCCCTCTCTCATCCTCCTCCCCCTTCCTATATCGCTTGTCTCTCTTCCCCATCCTCATGTCCATCCGTCTGTCTATCTTTGGTCTGGGAGAGAATACCACACACCGCATGGCTGAAGAAAAGAGAGGGATCTAAACTGGCATGTGTGTGTGTGTGTGCGTGTGTGTGTTGGGGGGTGGCCTTGAATGTTATTATACAGTCCTGCGAGCAAACACACACACACACGCCAGATAGAGAATGTACAGAAAGTCTTTAAATCCTTGCAAAATGAGTTGATGTCCGTCAGTGTGTTTCTTCTGTGTGCAAAAGCAGAGCGAGCATCAGGCCTTCATACGGAGCGTCCTCGCGCCTCCTACTGGCACATGAAATAAATAGTTTTAGAGAGACAGACTCCCTGAAGACAAAAGGCTGTAGGCGGGGTTTAGAGAGTGGACCATCTGCGTGCCGGGGAGGGCTGATGTCTGTGTGTGTGTGTGTGTGTGTGTGTGTGTGTGTGTGTGGGAGAAAGAAAGAACCCCCCACACAAGGCCTTTATTTGCATTATGAAGAAGTGGGTCTTGCGAGAGCATCTCATATCCTACCAAGCTCCAGTCAGCGATCATGGAACTATTTAGTTTGGGTTCAACAAACACCACTGTGTAATAATGGATACGAAATAAATCCTTTGCTTTTGACCTAATTACAGTGAAATCCAACACTTTTGAAATAATGCTTTTGTATGTCCCAACTGGGCTTAGCTTAGGGGTCGCATAAAGACGTGACGATAGAGGTAAATGGTTACACCATAACAACGCCCCATTTCGTGAAATATATGGGCTATCATGAAAGAATAATTATTTTGTTAGACAAAAGATGTTTCAAATTATTCATTGAAAAATCTAGGAGTATAAAAGTGATTTCAAAAAGTTAAGCATATCTTTCTAAACTATTGAAGAAGAGAGAAACTCCAGGTTATGTATAAGATAATTAACAACTAGTCCTAAAATAATCTGAAATATTTAAAACTATCCTAATCAGTAATGGAGGATATTAGAAATAAACTGACGACCCGGTTCATAAAATTAATAAAATGCATATAGTGTACACCAGAATACAGCCATGATTCTGAAACTGTGTAATCAATAAAGTAATGACAATATTGTAAAACCACTGTAATTCTGCAACTGTAATAGAATAACATCAATGTACAGTTATGATTGTATTTAATGTAATCAACTGGAATGCATGCATGTAATACTTGCACAACAACTGATATTGACTGAGGGTCATTCGAAATCCGAGTCACATTGAACTCACCAGAAGACCACTCCCAGAGGTGTGGACACTAACTTTCACACCTTTACGCATTCGTATAAATACCTGTAGGAACCATTGTTTTCGAGTTGGCTGGTGGAGACAACAGACGGGCACTAGGGATGGTCAAAGGACTGACCTGGGGCCTGTTGATTGCAAAGACCAGCGGCTCCTCAGTTGAGATGTTCTTTTTACCACAACACCATCTCTTTTATTAAATACATTTGATCTAACCTTTTGATCTGCGATGACCTCTGTCCGTCCGGCGTTTCTTAATTTTTGAATACAACAGTAACTATTTCAATTTTGGGGGGAATTATCTGCTTTCTTTGTTGCGGATTTTTATATCTTTTTGGATTTGTGACAATTTGTCGGCCACATCAAGTAAACGTTTTCACTTTAGTTGCAACTCTAGAGCAGATAACATGTTTACATAGCAGCAAAGGAACGTTACTGGATGTGCATGGTAAAGATGTGGTGGTTGTGATGTTATCAACATCCTTCAGGCACATCACAACATGCCATAACGTTCCTTCAGGGTCAACAGCGTTTAGGCTGATTGTTCCTATTATGTTCGCTGAGGGGACTGATGGTTTGACTTAATATTCCATTCAATTCAAATTCCTTGTATGTTTGACATATTTTGGCAATAAATGTTTCCTGATTCCTGATTCCTGATTTTTACAGTTGTATTAATCAAAGTGTATTTTTATGTTTGACCAGACAATTGGAGTTTGTTTATTTTAAGGGTAAAATTGCCTTCAAAGAGAAAGCCGAGGCCGCGAAGGTTTTAATAAAGCTCTTTCGTTCCTAAAGCATAGGCTTGCTTCTTGCTTCTGTTGTCTGGAGCCATGTTTGGAAGAAGTAAACGGCTTTTGCTCCCACGTGAATTGAGTGTTTCAGACTCTACGTTACCACCTAGTGGCCAATGTGACAAACTGCTTCTCTGATAACAAGATCATTGATTTTATTCAATTAATGGATTAATAGATTAAAAGTAATTTTCTTCAGACATTAATGAGGCAGACTCACCTACTTTTTAAATATGAATTTGGACATTTCTTTTTCTTCTTTCTTCCATGTTTTTTGTGAAATATTGTTTTATACATGAAAGGTTACAGAGAATCAGAAAGAAGTCAGGAATTGGGCATCTATGCAGCACGGTAAACTACATGCAAATTGTACTGTAGTTGCAGGGTCAATAGAGAGAATACACATTTTGTTTTGATATAAGAAAGCATAACATCTAAAATAAATTATTTTTAGGTTGATTATATAGATCATTGGATTATAGAATTAAGTCACCCTTTTCAAGCCAACTTGTTCTGTGTCAATATATAACACTCAACTGCTATAATTGCTATTAGTTATTATAATAAGGTCGTTTTCATTATATGGTCATAAATAATATTTTGGAATTGGCATATCATTTCGGAAAAGACAGTTATGGTCGAAGTGGAAATACACTTCAACCACTGGCAGCATGATATGTGCTTCTCGACTGGTCCACCCGCCTGTCGTCACTTTCTAAACAGGGGAACCGTATTCGCGCTAAAGTGATGCTGCATTCAGGATCAGTGGGAAAATTGATAGACATCATGTTTCATGATGTTTGCACGGTAGCGTGGCCGAGCGGTCTAAGGCGCTGGATTAAGGCTCCAGTCTCTCAGGAGGCGTGGGTTCAAATCCCACCGCTGCCAGTAGTTTTCTAAAGTTCTACAATATATAGAGTCAGGTAACATTACTGATTAGCTGGCTTTAAAGTTCTAACACTGAATACTGATGGTGAAAGTGGTAGCTGATCATTCTTAACTGGTGGAAATAAGTAATGTGCCACGAACTTTATAAAAAAACTCTCTATATCCAATGACGTTAGTTAACAGCCTAAATTATTAACTAAGTAACATTTTGAATACAGGACTTGTAATAGAATTAACTGGTACTTTGTAATATCACTAATTTCAGCAAAAACATATATACATTACCTGAATACCGCCTGAACCACCGCTTTAAGGCAACATTTATGAAACCCGTCTTAACCGTAACGTAAAAGTGTGAATTTCTCAGTTTTGTGCACAATTTGTGCACTTTATTTGTAACTTTTATTTGTTTTCCTTCTTATCCTTTTTTAAATTGTCTGTTCTATTTCCCCCTAGCCCATAGCCTTCTATTTTATTCCGTAGAGTTAGATTGTAAATTTGAATCGGTCTTGTTCTCCATTGTCTTACTATCTGATGTTATGCACCCACCGCCATGTCAAATTCCTCGTATGTCTCACATATATTTGGGCAAAAACTTTTCCGGATTCGTGATTATTTCTAGTGTTCGATGGGGTCCGCTGTCGACTCGCCAAACACTCAGAAGTCGGACCTATCGAAGAGGCCGTGAACGTAGCACAGTTGGACGCGTCGGAGAGGAGAGGAAAGAAAGGGGCAGGGAAGGGACCTGCGATCAATTCAGCCTCGCACTCTTGGCGCCAATCCGATTGAAAGAGAAAAAAACATCGAACATTTCCTTTATGTTTTAACCAAATTTGCGCTTAACTGCTGGATTTGCCCCAGCCATCAGTCGGTGCTACAGCCATCTAGCCTCGTTAGCACACTCTCTATCATTGTCATATTAGTCTGGCCCCTCGTCTCTGCCCGCGGCGGCGATACTAATAACTCGATAACAGTAACGCACGAGGACAATAGGTGCGTTTCTCTCGCCGGGGGATCGACGAGGCACGGCTGCGAAATGGGGGTGAGTTTGTACGTGTTTCGCTTAAAGTCCCGATGCGAGGTGATACGACGAAAGGTGGGTGTTTTTAGCTCGTAACGCATGATGGTGAGAGGAAAGAAGAAGAAGAAGGAGGGAGGAAGGGGACGGAAGAGAGAGAGACCATGGTGGATGTTTGCAGGCGAAGGTGTCGGTGGGCACCGGGCATGTTCGGCTGCCGTTAACGTCAGCTCGCTGCCGTTAGCTTGGTTAGCATCGCGGCGTTAGCTCTACATGTTCAGCACCATTACCGCCGTCATGCACAGTTAACTTCTCCCCGACGTGTGCTGTGCCATTGTTAGCCTGCTAGCTGCGTTAGCCACTTAGGAATGCCACATTAATGACGCGTGCTTCGCTAGTGGTTCCTGCGAGTCACTCCTGTGTATTATGGATTATTTTTCTTCTTTAAACCAACATGTCCGAACTCTCGCGCTTCAGCCTGCCTATTATTAATAATACTACATTTCAGATATGTTTGGTGGGGGATTGTGTACTTTGCACCACTCAGGCCTTATCTTGTGCTTTACAGCAGAGTTTAGTTTCCATAACGTGATCTAACGGCGGACTTTAGGTTCGTCCTCCACTTTCCTCCCCGGTAAACCGATCCACGTGTTCCCGCTGCTCAGTCTGCAGCCCCTCGGTTCTTGGTGCGGAGTTAATGCTCTGAGCGATAGTTGGCAATGCAACGCATTCCTGACCTGATTGTCACCTCTTTTGTTCGGGTCTGGATCTAATGAACTAATTCCCACTTGTTGTGCTCCATCACCCGCCTTTTTGTTTTGGTCGTGGACCGTCGACCACGATGTGCAATTAAACGCGGGCTTCCCAGTGTGGGTGGCGAATTTTTAGACACAATATTCAGCTGTCAGTGTAGTAATGCAAGAGATGATAATTCTTCTCAATGGATCAATCAATAAATGTATGTAAAAATCGCGATTACGATGAGTCCATGTGCTGAGACCCCTTCTCCCTTTCTGCCTGTCCAAAACCCATCTTTCAGTCTGCATTTCAGGTGCCAATATAAGCAAAGAGGCTTATGATTGGCATTTACGAAAGTGCACCAACCACAGACCCATTTTTATAGCAGCTTTGCGAGTGCTGTATGTGTGTTGTTGGCATCGATAATAATGTGTGTCAGTTGCGGTTGCACCATTGCTGATACTAACATCAGACGTCCGGCCAACGCAGGCTGAAATGGAGTATCTCCATAGTGCAGCATCTTAACTTTACTTGCTACTATAATCTTGCTCTTTTTGACCTGTCTGTTTATTGTGCATGGGTGCCCATTGTTTTTTGGCTTATATTTACTTTTTGTTAATGCACGTGTTACAATTTCGCTGTAAATGAGGCATCCTTGAAACAACTCCGTGATCTAGGTCTCGCCGTGATCAGAAAGTGGTTAAATAAGCTTGTAATTTGTATTAAAAAAAGTTTCTGACTCGTGTTCTAATATAATTTTCCTTTTTAGTATCTTTCACCTCTCGTTCTCACCTTCTTCCATTTTTTCGTTCCCCTCCCTCTCTCCTTTTGTCCCGGCTTCTCTCCTTCGCTACGCGTTTCCTGTGTCCAGAGGAAGTCCAACCGAGCAAAGGAGAAGAAGGCCCGGCGTCTGGAAGAGAGGGCGGCCATGGATGCCGTCTGTGCCAAGGTGGAAGCAGCCAACAAGGTGATTGTCTTTGAGTTGCCGCATTATTCAATCCTAGCCATGTAGAAGACGACACAGCTGAAAGATACGGTAGCTTGGCAGTCGCCTCGAGGTGAACCTCATCGAAGCTCTCTTCGAGGTGCAGGTGGCTGCACTTAATACTTTTTTATGTGTCACTCTCTCCTGCCTCTTTCCACTGTTGATGATGTGCCAACGGAGAAGGAATGCAAGACATTCAAGTAACTTTTATGCTTGTTTGTGCTCTGGCAAACAGCAATGAATCGCTACTTCAAAGAAACAAATGTTGTATTCACTGCTTGGAGAACATTTTCTGGTAGATTTAGCTAGTTTTTCCTCGGGCCTTTTTTAAATGGAGAAGCGGTCTGGCTGGATTACTGAACAGGCCCAGGGTGTCAGGGCTCCTAAAAAAGAGCTTCTGTTCTAATTCAATGGCGTAACATTTGAACGAGCCATTTGATCTTTCAAAGATTTTTCCCAGAACAAAACGGCATCGGTCACACGTCTGTGCCAGGGACTCAAATTTATCTTTCTTCTGTCAAAGGAGGTGTTTTCTTAATCTGATATTGAGTAGTCTCTCCGGTCCACGGAGTAGATGACTTTGTGGGTGCTCATAATGAGTGAATAATGGGGGCTATAACCTTAGTAGCCCTGTGCTTGGCCTGTCTGTGTGGGCCCGAGGGATGCTGGGATGTCTTTTTCAGTCTATTGGGGGGAATTTAAAAACAATAATAATCTGCTTTTTAATTATTTTTATTTTTATTTATCAATTGTTTTGCCCACATAATGTCCTGGGGACGTCCTGAAATATCTTGATTTGTCCATCCAACAGACCCAAAGGCACTTAGGTCGCCAGTATTTAATACACACAAATGGCTAATAATTGGACTTGGAAGCAAAAAACCTCTGTCCTTTAAACTGAAACGCTTCAATGTTTTTGAAGCGCTGTGTTCTGTTCAGTGTGTTTCAGCTAATTTTGCCTCTTCTCGTCACAGCTTGATGACCCACTGGCTGCCTTCCCAGCCTTCAAAAAATACGACAGAAATGGGTAAGCAACGGTTTACAAAGGACCTATTGAGTATTTTGTGAAATACACACTTGTTTTATTTCGGTTCCTCTGCTTTTGGTCATTTTGTCTGTTGTTCTATTAGTCTTTATATAGCTTTTTTTTTTCTTTATTTATTTTTTTTTCAGCACAGACTCGCACCTGATGTAATTATTCCCCATGTTTTCTCGTCCTTCCGTGTAGGCTGAACCTGCAGATTGAGTGTAAGCGAGTGACCTCCCTCAACCCGCTGTCTGTGGAGTGGGCCTTCGAACTCACCAGAGCCAACATGCAAGCACTGTAAGACCTTTGGCCACAAAGTGACTCCTATTTAACAGGGATGAACAGGCTGCTGCAAATAGGTAGAGGTAGTAGTGCAGACAAGCCAGATGGTTTTTGTGTGTAAGAGGTTTGGAGCGTGACCTCAAACCTAGAAATGAGTATGAATGTAATCATCCTCATTGTGGCGCCAGTGGAAAGGTGAGCAGATTTCAGAGAAATTACAATCATTTAATGTCCTACTAAGCCAGAATTTGAATTGAATTGAATTTAGCCATTGGCATCCAGTCAGCCGAAAACTGAATTGGTTTCCATTTAGAAAGATGTGTCATTCCGGGGAACGCTGGTGAAGAATGAGAGGGTAAAATTAGCATGCCCGGTTTGCGGTGACCCGTTTTCCTCCTCGCTGTAGGTATGAGCAGAGCGAGTGGGGGTGGAAGGAGAGGGAAAAGCGGGAGGAAATGAATGACGAGAGGGCCTGGTACCTGCTGGCCCGCGACGGCGACTCCGCCCCTGTGGCCTTCTCTCACTTCCGATTTGACGTGGAGTGCGGGGAGGAGGTTTTATATTGGTAAGTTTGAGGAGTTCCATTGGTGGCTTTCATTGCTGAAAGACGAACGTTTTTACCCTCGTTGATATGATCAACTGATGCGCTGGCTTGACTTTATAGCTATGAGGTCCAGTTAGAGAGCAGAGTGAGGAGGAAAGGACTCGGAAAGTTCCTCATCCAGATTCTACAGCTCATCGCCAACAGGTAAGACCAACGGCTGTCGTGGTGGTGATCGCCATGCGTACGTGAGTGACTGGATGAATTGTTTTATTCTGTGCCAGTAGCTGTAAAACAGTTGTATAGAAAATTCCAGATTTGTTTTGTGTATTAATCTGTCGGATCTCAAGGATACTTAAAATGTATTTAGAATGGGGAAACGCTGAATGCACTCAACTTAATTTTGTTTCCAGGGAAAGTCTCCTGGGCACAGTTAAGGGAAGTACGCATCACATCGCCCAGCCATGTGAAACTAAGGTGCTTTTCTTTTTTTGTGTTCTCTTTTCTCCAGTACGCAGATGAAGAAAGTCATGTTGACAGTTTTCAAACACAACCACGGGGCTTACCAGTTCTTCAGAGAAGCTTTACAGTAAGTATGCCGGCATGAGAAGGTTTTTTTATATTTAGCACTAAAAGAAAGACATCTTGACCCTCAAGTAACCCCTTTTTCTCTCTCTCTCTCTCTCTCTATCCATCTATTAGGTTTGAGATCGATGAGACCTCGCCAAGCATGTCCGGTTGCTGCGGTGACGACTGCTCTTACGAGATCCTCAGCCGGCGGACCAAACACGGCGAGGCCTCAGCGGGACACACCCACGGGGGCGGGCACTGCGGGGGCTGCTGCCACTGATCCGCTTCGGTTTCCAACCTTTTTTTGTGATTTTGGTTAAAAGCCAGCAACTTTCATGGCTGTGTGTGAAAGCTTGAGCTGCCTGCAACCCCCGCAAGCGTTTTGAGTTTGCCCAGCTGTAGGGTGCCGTTAAAAGTGAATTCCATTGCGGAATACCTGGCTGCAGATGTTTGTGTTGCATTATGGATGGAGATTTATGTGGGTTATTTTTGTGTGTGTAGTCCTGCTCCGAAAGCAGTGTGCAGTGTGAGCTTTCACACATAGCTCCTGTTCATTCTTTGTTCCTTTTCATTGGTTTAACGTCCCGGCCTTCTTTCCTCCTTCTCTTGTCCCGGCTAACGATGATGATTAGTAGTTCCCCGCCGAGCATTGCTGACATTCTCCACCCCGGCAATGCACCTCATCTCTCAAGGTGCCACACTGTATTTAATCATTCTGCAGCGCTTCTTAAACAACGGCTCGGGACCCGGCCTGCGGCTGTATTATAGAAACTTACTACCTCAAGTCAAGGTGTCACAGTCCATTTTTCTAAATAAACATAAGTACATTCAGTCGGTTTCTGTATTACAGCCCCGGATTTCCTTGGGCCTTCACACCGAGACGACCGAGGCTCGTTTCACTGATCCAGGATTAGGCTTAAAGTAGTCCCAATTGTGTCCCAGGAAAACCGTCTGAGAAACCCTGCAGTGCAGTAATACCACCTGTTGTATCTAAATATGGCTTGTAAGTGGTTTTGTGACAGAGTGCCGCTAGCAGCAACTCCACACGGGGCCCCTTTATACTACAGTCCTCTATTAGCGCCTCATCTTCTCAGTTTGCCTAAATCTAGCAGGCATCTCCGCTGCGTTTTAATTTGAATAACTTGAGAAAATGTTCCCTTCTCTAGATAACACTTTGTGTTCTTCTCCAGTGAGTAAAAATCTGTTCCTGTCAAGCAGCGTTCAACTAGAACAAAATCCCAGTACGGCTCTTTGGCAGATTTACACGCTTTTTATTCCCACCATCTCTTTTCCACCCTCACAGATTGGAAGAGCCAAAATCCCATGATCCACATCTGTACAGTTGTAGCCTCCATGTCCTAGAGTACGATCGCCCCACTCCTGCTCGCCTCTTTGTTCTCTTTCGCTTCCAAGAGGTACTAATGATAAACAAGTTGATGTTGACGCTACCTTTTTAAGTTGTGTTTATGGAAAGAAAAAAACTAAACCACCCCTTCCCTTATGTAGTTTGTTAGCATGAGCAAATCATATTGATTTAAGATGGATGAAGATCGGTTGAAGTCACCGCTTCACGTTGGCTGTCTGAAGCCGAGGTTGCGGAGAACCCCAGAGGAGGATGGACGGTAGAAGTGATTGCAAAGCACCAAAGTGTTTTTACTCATCGTTATTCCTCTCCTCCTAATTAGCACCGGTTTGCCATCAGTTCACGTGACCACGTTTAGAAAATGCTGCAAAGTCCAACGCATGTTTGAACAAATCCCCCATAATTCACTGCATGTCAGAATTGCGGGACGACTGAGTGGATGCCGATTTGGCGTTCCCGCCGGCGGTTAAAGACTCGTTGCGTACACGTGACGCCCCTTCACATGGAGCAGGTCCTGAATACTTTGAATTAAAAATGCAACATTGCTGTTGATCTAGCGAGGCGTCGATCTGGTATCTGGGACCCGTCCCCATAACACCCTTTCATTCCAGGCCTGTAGTTGGTTTGTGCAGATTGTGGGCTGGAGGTTTGATTTTACTTTTATTCTGTGGATGTAAAGTTTCTTCTGTCTAGTGTGGCTGGAAAGGGCTTTAATTTGGTTTGTTTTTAAATGTGTCTTTTTTTTTAAACGGTCATATCAAGGCTCAGCTTGAGATTTCTCAGATTCATGCCTGGCCAAAGTATGTGAAGCAGGGCAGACTGAAATGTGAATATAATGAAATAATGTTAGAAAATGTCAATTTTCTGTTTTACCCCCCCCCCCCCAAAAAAAAACAACCTTTTTGGATGACAGTCCAGATGCAGGGGTGACGTTTCGTTTTGCTTCTAGACTGGGTGGAGACTCTAAAATATTCAACACCTCAAGATCGCATATTGGTGTCTCATGCTTGTTTGATCAGAAACCATGAAACAACACCGTGCTTGTTTTAGTAGTAGACTACCTTCTGATAAGTACAGTAAGTCATTTTTGCACTGCATAAGCTACAATATCAAAGGGGATGTTGTACATAGTGGCAGTTAATCAACCGACTGACAGTCTCTCTCTCTCTCTCAGGTTAATCGAACATAATCAAACCTCATCTGTTTAATTTAACAGCCGGATTAGATTGGCCACAGCGCTGACCTAGAGTCAGTTTTTTTTTTTATGTGTCACGCTGTAGTATTTTGAAGATATGTTACAGTGAAAGTAAAAGCTCCTCTATGCCTTGGAAATGTGAAGTTGCATGAACGTGATGATTACGGGGTTGGATGAAGTTGGAACTGCCTCTGGATCAGTGCTAAATTGTTTATATTCAATTCTGATTGGTTGGCGGTCTTTAAAGAAATAAATAAAAGGTTCACTAAAAGTAAAGATCAGTTTGAAAATATCCTATATTTGAAAAGGAGCCTAAACCTAACTAGTTTATTTTAAGTCATTTTTATTTTGCAAAATGGTCACATACAGTCACAAAATCACCAAACCTCCTCTTGGTCTTTTCTCTGTGTATGCGTGTAAATATATATAAGCTGTTGTGGATCCATCTTCATTACTTGGCCTTTTACAGGTAAAACACTTATTAAACATGTTGAAAGTAAAACTCCATGTTTGAGAGTGAGTGTTATAGTCCCATTCACAAATGACAATGAAAGGGAAAACTAAGTCATTCTGCCTTGTCAGTGTTTTATTTGTATGTTACAAATAAAGGAAAGTTGTTTTGACTTTTCAAGAGATGTCTTTTGTCATTTGTGATCCTTTTCTCTTTCCAAGGTACTAAACTGTGTAACTATACAGAGGACCATTGCTGTCAGGAATGGGACCATTGATATCTAGTTATGAATTATTGAATCCTAATTTGACCTTAAAGCCCAATTTTGATTTACCCTAAGTTTCATTTTATATCATGCCAAACTAAAAAATAGAAGTAGAAGTGGTAGGAATGGACTTCCAATAATAACTTCAGTCTTTATAGTATAGTATGTTTACTAGCTGCTTTTCACCCTTTACACGGCGTGAATGATCCAGCAGTCCTCCTTTATTAAACTGACAACTTGGCGGTATCGCGTGGAACTGTCTGGACTACGTGCTTGTGCGCGTTCCGAGGGGACTCCTTACTGTGTTGCACTGAAACCGGAAGTTGTTGGTACATGGCCGGAGCGAATGAATGGACGTTGTGATGCACTGAGGTGCCTTTGCTCGCTTTGGTCAAAGATGACGTGAACCTTTCAGCTGGTAAATCAGCCGCACCGCGTCTGTCTTCTACGGTTTCCCGCCTGTGGTGAGTGCATCATTATCACACTTTGAGCTATTTTCTGTTAAAACAAATAATGAAGCTAACGCAGCTTATTGTTAGCTAACGCTGATTTATCATCAAACGTGAGCACCAGCCGACCTTGTCGGGAACAGCGTAGGCGAACACATTCTCAGGTTCAATGTTTTACAGTAAGCCTCCAGTAAAGTAGAGCTAAAATTATATATAAATGCTATCTATCCCGCATAGCTAACGTTCGTTAGCTAAATGTGGAGTTGTGGCCCATTTAAAGTCAACATGGAGGGATGAAAAAACACACCAGCCTTTGTGAATAGTAACGTTTGTCCCGTATCGTCTTGTCCTCCTTTCAGCTGGTCCCGGTACCATGGCAACGAGGATGAAGCTGAAGCTGAAGACCGTGTTCGTGCTCTACTTCATGGTCTCCCTCATGGGCCTCATCTATGCACTGATGCAGCTCGGTGAGTGTTCACCGCACAATCACAACGGCCCTTTCTCCCAGTTTTACAATTTACTTCAAAGATGCCTCATTCCATCAATAAGTGCCCTACAGAGCTGTTGCAGTGAGCCAACGTGGACGATACCAGGGCCCTCACTAAGTGGAATGCAGCGTCATTAATGTTATTAAATACAAATCTGCTTATCCTTCTATTACGTGTCAAAATGTCTGCTTAGACAAAAACGTATATCAAGTCTTGATCCATCTGTATAGAAGTGTCCTTAGCTGTTTCAGTATTTAACTCCCCCCTCATTTTTTTACTGATCAATACTCTGTCACAGTCCTTTTTTCCTTTTCTTGCCGTAAATATTCAAAAAATGTGTACAGTGAATTAAGTTGAAAAAAGCTTTCAAAATCCACAGCACTGAACGGCACCTTACAAGTAATTTACCAAAAGTGTAATAGCATGTGGACATGTCTCGTCCCATTTGTCCATTGATGTTAAACAACACTGTTATTTGCCTCGTTCTCACGGTTAACTCTAAGGTATAATTTATAATTTTATAAGGTTGATGAGAGATTTAGCTTTTGTACTTAAACGTAAACGTTCCTGTCTTGTGTCTCCTGAACACTTTGCAGGTCAGCGCTGCGACTGCACAGAGCACAACATGCCCAAAGACCGTACAATATCTCGGCTGCGGGGGGAACTGCATCGTTTTCAGGAGCAGTTAAGGAAATCCGAGGCTACAAAGCAACCACAGAAACAGCCAGCTAAGCCAACCATCTTTGTCATCACCCCAACATATGCAAGGTATGGAGGCTGGTTTCCTTACCTCCTTTCCTACTCATTGGCCTACTTCTCTATTACTGTCCTTTTTCTCCTACACACACAAACACACCGTTGCTCTGATTTCTTCCTCTCCTTTCTCCAGGCTGGTGCAGAAGGCCGAGTTGACTCGTCTGTCCCAGACCTTCCTCAACGTTCCTCAGCTCCACTGGATCGTCGTGGAAGACTCACCACACAAGACGCCGCTGGTAACTGACCTCCTGGTGAAGAGTGGCCTGACCCACACGCACCTACACATGCCCACTGCCAAGGACCGCAAACTACAGGAGGTGGGTAGTGACATGGCAGCCGTTTGGCACCAAATGCGGCCTCATTAAAGAATGTAGAAAAGAGCTGGGTTTTTTTAGACTTCTTGTCTGAATGCCGATGCTCTACCTCAGGGGGACCCCAGCTGGCTGAAGCCTCGCGGAGTTGAGCAGCGAAATGAGGGTCTCCGGTGGCTCAGAGAGGACCGAAGGGCTCAGCCGGGAGGAGACAACCAGCAGGGAGTAGTTTACTTCGCCGACGACGACAACACATACAGCCTGCAGATATTTGAGGAGGTGGGTGTTGGAGTGGGGACGAGTTTTTATTTTCATGATCCTCCACAGGGACAGGCTTAGTTTGTTACTGAAGTCCGCCAGTCTTCGGATGAATGTTTTAAATGCAACGTTGCCCGTGTCTTGCCTCAGATGAGGAGCACCGAGCGGGTTTCGGTGTGGCCGGTGGGGCTGGTCGGAGGGATGAAATACGAGAGGCCCGTGGTCGAAGGAGGAAAGGTATGTGCTTTTTCATATTGCAGTGGGACAACTGGGACTGGAAAAACAAGTGTAAGATGCATACGGCTGCAGAGTCTGTGTTTTAAGAACATCCATCCATCGTCAAACCGCTTATCCTGCACACAGGGTCGCGGGGGGGGCTGGAGTCTATCCCAGCCAACTTCGGGCGAGAGACGGGGTACACCTTGGATTGGTCGCCAGCCAATCGCAGGGCTACACAGAGACATACAACCATTCACACACCTATGGGCAATTTAAAGTCCCCAATTAACCTGATCCCCAGAGCATGTCTTTGGACTGTGGGAGGAAGCCGGAGAACCCGGAGAGAACCCACGCAGACACAGGGAGAACATGCAGACTCCACACAGAAAGGCCACTGGGCGGAGTTGAACCCAGGACCTTCTTGCTGTGAGGCGACAGTGCTAACCACTACGCCACTGTGACGCCCTTGTTTTAAGAACAGTTGGGTTACACAAAAAAATGCTACTATGCTAATAATTTTGCTGTAATTTTATTATTATCATTTTTCTCTCAGGTGGTTCGCTTCCATACCGGCTGGCGTCCCAGTCGCCCTTTCCCGATGGACATGGCCGGCTTTGCCGTCTCCCTCAAACTGATCCTTGCCAATCAGGAGGCCTGTTTCGACGGAGATGCGCCAATGGGCTTCCTGGAGAGCAGCTTGCTGCAGGGATTGGTCACCATGGACGAACTGGAGCCCAAAGCAGACAACTGCTCTAAAGTACGAGCTAGAACTTGAATTAAAGATGTCTTTCTGGTATCGGCGTCCTAGTTTAGATAATTCATTATTTCAAATGTAGCAGCAATAGAAATAAATCAATGTTTGCACTTCATTTGAAGACAACAGTTTGTGTTTTATTTCTGTGTCCGCTTTGTGTTTTTGTAGGTTCTGGTGTGGCACACACGGACAGAGAAACCCAAGATGAAGAGGGAGGAGGCTCTGCAGGCTCAGGGACTTGGCTCAGACCGTGCGGTTGAGGTCTAAAGAACACACAAACAAATACAAACACACACACACACACACACACAATGTAAAGCGTAGTCCAATGCTGCATATGTAACTCATGTTGTAAATACTGTAAAACAGATATATCTGTTGTACGTGTGTATATATATATATATATATATATACTGAGTGAGTGTTACAACGTGGTATGTTGTATGTATCCACTGTGTTTATGCAGGTTTTCTTTGGTTTTTAGTGAGTCCGGCGTCCGGCATTTGCCTGACGGGGGCGCCAGTTTTACATTTCGTATCGGCATGAGGTTACACCACCGATGCATCATTCCTTACAGCTTGAAGAACACTGTATCTTAGTTCATACTCCATTGTTGCATCATTCGTAGTGTTCCACATGCTTACTTGTGCTCAATTTAATTCCCGAAATTCATTCCTTTGATATTTTTCATGGCTGAGCCTGATAAGTGTCCGTAAACATCCATAGAGAAGCGTTTTGAGTCAAAGAAGGTCGCCATCATTGCATGATAATACGTTTTATACAACCTGTCCAATCAAAATGTGTGCATTCGCCTCCAACGTAATACTATTGTGGAGGAAAAGGTGCATTTTATTTCAGTAAACAGTATTCAACACACACAACAACATATAGGCTTACAAATCTCACAAATGAATTAAGAACAAAGCTTTGGGGTGCTCGCCTTGTATTTGTTATGCTCTTACACATCTGTGTTCCGGACGCAAGTGGTGCAATGTGGCGACACAACACAACAACAAATATTACAACGCAATGGTTCCACGCCCAGTGCAGCGTCAATGTGACAGCTCAAGGCTGGTTTTCTGTAGTTTCATAACGAGAAAGCGGATAAATATGTATATATTTTAGTGATGCTTTCTAAAAACGTAACGGCTTGTGAAATCAATTTAGACGCCCATAATAAGGGAACCACACTACTGAAGCCCTCGTCATTTAATTATGCAATAAACACGCCCTGCCTATGACGCTGCCTATGATCCCTTTTAATGACAAGTAAAAGATCTGAATTATTCTCACTAGGACATCCCCGGGATTTACAGTAGTAGTCGTTCAATAGCACATTTCAGAAATAAGCTTAAAATTTTACCACTTGAGCTGTGCTTGATTATTTTCCATGACATCCTCAGACGTTGGATGAATAAAGAGCAAAATACCATTTAAAGCTCAGAAGTGTTGCCCGGCTACCGTTGTGTGATACTGTAAAAACCGCTAGTGTCTGCTTGAGTGTAATTAGTGCCTGTAAGTCATTCTCTACTGGTGTATTAAGTATTTATTACTGTAATATTGTCCTTGAAATCAAACAACATGATAATGTGTCTTCAAAATAAACCGACATGATGAAAATAATTTGTCCTTGTATTTTGCCCTTCAGTCAATTTATGCCTTTTTAAAAATTCCTCTGCAATTGGTCTTAAGTCTTATATTTACTGTAGGTGCTAATGTGTGACGAGGGGGGATTTGCTGAGTCCTAATACAGCACGATTTTCACATTTTGTAAGAAAAAAGAAAAGCTGACTGAAGCCGAGTGTCTTATTAGTGACTTGAAGCTCAGCGAGCAGCACATCTGTTCTCTGGGCGAGTCGGGTGATGCTTGATTGAGTCATACTTCACCGACCTGCCACACCGTGTGCCTGAGGCCTTTCTGGGCCTCATAATGTGCCCACCAACATCTGTAATTCCTTTATATTTTAGCAGCGAAACCCTAACATGTCGCTGCTTGAAGGTGACCATGGCAACCCGCTTCCAGCTTCTCATGCTCTCAGAGAAGATTAGTCACGTGGGCGCGGATTCTCTGACCTCAGAGCTCAGGTTCTCTCAGCCCTGTGTGATTGACCGATGTATGGGGCCCTCCGTTCAGGGAAGTTGCCCGCTTGTGGCCCATGTACGGGGTGGTCTGTAGGCATGAGTCCACTTCAACACACACACACACGCACACACAGGGTACAGAAGAGGACGGTGAATTGGGGGGGGGGGTCTGAAGTCATAGACGCACAGCGAGATGATTCACTCACAGACACTTGTTAATGTGTACTTTCAGTACAAAGAAAATGTGAGCATGTCCTCACGCTGACTGAAGAAACAAACCCATGTAGATAATTACTCACACGCACAGACACACACACTGCTGAGCAGCTCCCACCCAGACATGGTGTTTATCATCCAAACATTACTTTCAGTGACCGAAGCCGCACGTACTTTCCATTCAGGGCAAATTTTCGGATTCCATTGGTATCCATTTTCAACTTGGGTCACACTTGTCTGAAACCAAAACAAATGTTTTAAGTCTCTCTCTCTCTCTCTCTCTCTCTCTCTCTCTCTCTGTCTCTCATATATATATATATATATATATATATATATATATATATATATTAAAAAGAAAAATAAATTGTATGAGGTGATGAACATTTCTCATACTATTTATGGCTGTTATAAACACTTCATGATGGATTTTTCATGATATAATTTCCATAAGTCCATAAAATTACCTGTGAATAGTTTGACAGATAAAAAGTACCAACTGCTTTAAAGGATTAGTTTCATATGGATGTAAACCGAGAAGAATGGATTAGTGTGGCAGGTATTGAGGACATATCTTCAGTTAGCTAAAATCAGTGTACATAATAGTTTATTTGACTTTACATCAAATAAAGTCTTAAAAATGTACATTTTTAGCAACACATGTCGGAGCAATTTTTTAGCAAAACGGTAATTAGACATAAGCAGATGTTCTCCTTTATATGAATCCCTTCAGGGGGTTTGACATTGAACAAAGAGAAGCAAATCAATTCATGCTTCATACAGCTACTGGTGGAAAACTTCCTCACATATGGACACCAGGTACAGTCACAGTAGATATTATCACATTGATTTATTCATGGGTTACTGAGTGATGGTGCTGGATGGAACGTTGAAGGGGATCGAACTTAATATCTGTGCACTCTGCAGGTTTACCTTCAGCGTTAATGATTGATACCGGCTGGTATCAGAGTAGGATGTTTGCTTCTGGTGGTGGGAAGTTTCTTGTGTGCATGCGCGCGTGTGTGTGTGTGTGTGTGTGTGTGTAGGTATACGCAAGTTCTGACTCTTCAGAACTTTATCTTCAACTCAATGATTTTCTTAAGCCGTATGGAGGAGTTGTGTGTCGTTCAATAGCTCGTCAGGGGAAGTGAGACAAAGAGTCCTTTAGAAGCAGAGTGCTCTGCTGTGCGTGTCATTTTTGCATGTGTGTATTTGCTTTACTGACGACAGAGGCGCAGGTTCGGGCAGGGTGGGTGTGTGACGCTGTGTGGGTGTGAGGGGAGGTTCCTCAGCTCCAAGCTCTCCGTCATTCATACACTCAGGAGGTCCAAACACACACACAAACGCACACAAACACACACCGGGGGAGAGAGGAGACAACGGCAAGAGATCAGGTAAGACGGCCACCTCTTTCCCATCCGATAGTCTCTGTGTTTTGCTCATTGCTACTCCAGTTGAGACTGAATACTATAAAGTAAAGTAAAGAAAACAACTCACAGCTGTTTTATTTCCTCTGACAATAAATGTTAAACTAATTATTATTATCAATCATATTTGCTGCTTTGGTTTCATTCTCAATATTGTGTCAAGTTGAACCTTTATTGTGATCTGGGCGACTGGTGGGAAATGTTACCTGACATATCTGTAGACGCTTGGCACACAATACCTAAAAGGGTCACTGCACAGAGCAGATTAACACCGCTCTCTGACAATAGAGTGGGAAATAAAGGAATGTAAGGCCACGCAATCATTTACAATGTGGGGTAAAAAATTAAAAGTGCACTTGGATAAGGGTGGAATTTGTGTGGACTTCTTCATGATGGACAGTGTAAATGATAATATTTTTTCAGGAAAACTACAGTTCTTTCTGTTGGTTTTTCACTTTTCAAATCTGTGATGTGACAGAAGGTACGGCTGGAAAGTAACCTGTATGACATCATCTCTTGGTTACGTGTCAGAGTCCGTCCATCTGATCCTTCTCCTTTTTTGGACATTACCGAGAACTGGAGACAGTCAACATGAAGCCATTGGCTGCTGGAAAAGTGATGTCAATTTGGTGTCAAAGTCTGAGCCCGTGTTATAAGAACATTATTTTTACTTTATCTTTGACATCCAGTTATCATCACGGCCATGAGAACACGGTGCCCACACGCACACACAGACACACACAGAGACACACACAGAGATACAAACAGAGATAAGTCCACAACAGAACTAATGCAAAACCACAAAGTGTACTTTCTGTTATTTGGTTTCATAAACAAGGAGACAGATACTATGCTGTACAGAGCATTTTACACAGATAAAACATGCAGATGGTCACACATGTCGCCCGCGACACTGACGCTCTCTGCCATCTATGGTCTCCTTTCACGAGTGAGGGTTATGTAACAACGCTAATGCCTGATCCCTCTTGCCCCCCCACCCAACCCTCCTTTTTGTCCTCCAGCTGCTGAAGCACGAGGAGAAAAAGAGTGGGAGAAAAAGGAAAACAAGGAAGTGAAAAGATGACAATTGGCAAGAACTCCGGGAGAAGCTCCGTCCGGGCGCCAAAGTTCCTCGACAAATCCACCGGCTTCTACGGTCGCCTCGATGAGCCCGAGGCCGCCGGACAAGGAGAGGAGGCGAGGGGAGGAGAAGGCGTAGAGGAGGCGTGCAACAGGACGGGGGACAGCGGCCGGGACGGGAGTGTGGTGCACGTCTCCGGGGCAGGTGAGAGGGAGGAGGTCGAGGCGTTTGACCTCGAGGAAGGGATGATGGAGGACGACGGGGAGACTCTCCTCCAGAGGAAGCCCAGCCGCCGCAGCGGCAGGTGGAGAAGGAGCTCCAGGAGGAAGCAGAAGGTGGGGAGAGGCGAGGAGGGCGAGAGCCCAGTCGACCCGCCCGCCCCGGAGGACACCAGGGGGATGGTCCCAGATGAGATGGCGGAAGTGAAGGAGACGGAGGAAGAGGAGGAGGAGAAGGCCGGCCGGGGGAAGGAGCCCGAGGTCGTTCACTTCCCGATTCGGGAGGATACCGATGACCAGGTCCTGATCCGAGACAAGAAGAGGGGGCGAGAAGAGGAAGGAGAGGAGGAGAGGAGGATGAAGAGGGAACAAGAGGAGGGAATGAGGGTGGTGAAGAGGAACTCTGTGAGGAATTACCGCAAGGTGAGAGAAAATCTACACGGAGCTTTCTGTTGTTTCTCTCAACGAGAGCTGTTGTTTTCATTCTGTCATTTCGCAAAACAAATTCCATCTTCAGCTCCACATCACAGAGTTGAACTTTAAGCGCTCAGCGTTACATAACCCCGAGTCCTCGGAGTTAGTGGAACAGAGGGGGCAAAGTTCTCCCTCAGCATCCACATACTGCACACTGGGCTATTAATCACCATGGAAACTATCAGCTAATGATAGACTGCCAACAGGGTCAAAGTACAGCCGCCACCGCTGCACGTTACCGACTCATTAGGTCACTTCCTCTCATGGGGCTTTTTCCTCGACGTCACATTCGGGCGGCGTGAACGCAACAAAATGATGGCGGAACGGAGGTTTAGCTAACTTAGCTAGAGTTAAGCCGTACCGGCCGGCGGGTACACGGCCGTGTCCCCTCCACTCAGTCATTTTCAGCTACCATGGAGACGCGGACATTCCTGGGCCTCTCGTATCGTGTCCTTTGATCAGTGGTATAGCGCTGTTTACCCGCCTGCTAGGCCCACATCATAAAACGCATTCCACTGCTGCTAGCCAATCAGCTCCACCCTCGAGCCTCCCAGGGTGACCTCCGAGTCTGTGTCTGCTGAGCAAAAAGGAAAGTTAAATTCCCGTTTGTTCAATGTTGAAGAGTGTTGTTCTATAGCCAACACAGAAATAACCTTTGTGGTTCCCATCCAAAATAAATGATTGGCTTTTTGCTTATGATACTGGATCACTGACCTATATTCTCAGGTCATAGTGAGACTACTAATTAGTACTGACCCAGGTATTCGAAAAATAACTTTTGGAAATACGTTGGAAAAATACAGAACTATAAAATGCAATAAAGAGACCGCGCAAACCCTAAAACTAAACTAGTAACACATAAACATGTGATAATGTAGCTGTCGTTTTTCCACCTTTTTCTGATCACGCGCACGGATCGCTAACCTCTACCTTCCTGTCTCCGCCAGGCCTTGGACCGAGCCTTCCGTCGGGGGTGGGAGGCCTTCATCGCCAACCTCTACAGCGTCACGCTCACACCTGTGACCTCATCATCACCTCCGTCTTCTTCGCCATCGCTGAAGAAGAAAGTGCAACACAACTCTGTGTTGGCTGAGTTTCAGTAGATCCCGCGACCTTCATGGACAATAAAATGCACCCTTTCTTGATGTTGAGTTTTTCGATGAGGATGCGCGTCACACGTTAGAGCTCAGAAACCTCAATTAGTTGTGTAAGTTACTTGTCATCATGACGTTTTACTGCCTCGTCTCATTGTGGTGCACATTAGTTTAAACTGCAGGGATTCACGGTTGCTTCTATGGTGAAGTTCTTTTTTTCGTGACTGAGTTCAGCTGCTTCTCGCTTCTCGTGTCCACCTTCGGATTAAGCCTTAACATCTGAGTTCCTCAAATTTTTTCCACTACCAAGAGTTTAGAGTGCAAATAATCTTTGCATCTTTGGTTTAGCGCTGTGAAACTTCAACGGTGTTGATGTGCAACCAAAAAGAACAAAAAGGTTTGACTGCATGAGCAATGGCTGATTAGTGGAGTTCGGTGAAGGAGATTTCTTGCTGCCTGACAGCTAATCAGTAAAAAGAGTAGAAAAAACACCCCCATCTGTTTAAATCTCTTAACGTTGGTAAAAAACATAAGTTTCCCAGGAACACACATGAGCATACAGTTGGCCAGTGTTTGACTTCTTCACTGTGTTCTGATGAAGGTTATTTAACCTGAAGGGACATTCAAGCAGAGTTTCTGCATGTACGTGTGTGTGTATGTGTGCCAATAAGAAAGAGATATTTGATATTTCCGGGTTTGTAAATCAGAGTGTGTTTCGATTGTTACCGTTGAAGATGCGCATCTTGCTTGTTAGAGAAGTTTTACTTGCCTAAAACATCAATACAATACATACGATTGTGCAAAGAAGACATTATATAAGTGATTTAATATATTAATTATTTTCCCTTGTTACCATGAACATATAATGTTTACAAGAGTCCTGCTGTAATTACCTTTCATCCACTTTATACACCTTTTGCAAACCAGACTGAATATTGTGGTTGTATATAATGATTATTTAAAAATGTCCCTTTTTAATAAAAATCCCTTTCTTTCTTAATCAAAGCATCCTCTGTCATGAGACAGTCAAAGAAAGACTTTTATGAATGAATAAAGACTTAATTTATTGTACTGGTCGTATTTTCTGGTATGGCGTTTAATGCAGTATGAATGGATCTCTCTGTATTTTAATTTGCTGATGTCTGTTATTGTTTGGATGAGTTAGAATAAATAAGATGTAAAAGACAGAACCACATCATCATGACGCCAAGCAGCTTGAACAGGTGAAACGTTGCTGTTTTTTGTGCATTTGGCCCATGATAATAGAGAAAAGATATGAGTACAGACTTATACATATGGGTCATAAAAGTACTTAAGGTGTATTCATTTGTGTTCATCTTATAAATATATAGGTATGTTTTGTCCATGCAATTTATTTTAAAAAGAAATATTCCAAAGAAAAAGCACAAAGATCTTCTGTTGAAAAAATAAAAATAAAACATACCTCCTATTCTCTATCATAACGTCAATAGCAAAAATAAACTTTTCGCTTTTTTGTCTTGGTATGAATTTACAGTGTATTGTGATATAAAATAGATGAATTACGAAGAAAATGTCGCTTTGCCGACACCATGTGGATGTAAACCAATATTTTTTCTTAACGGAAATGACGCAATAAAATAAACTGCTGTTTTTCTTCTGCGGATCAGCCGTAACTCCAAACAGTGGCCTTGAGTTCATCAAAAAAATAACACATTTTGTCTTTGTTTCGTTTCGTTTTATGTTCTTCCCCAATGCAAAGCCCGTGTAAAAGCCAGACGGAGGTTTCCCGGTAGAAGCTCCCCGGGTGGGAGGAGCCTTTCCCGGGGAGATAAAAGGCGGCGGACCGCTAAGCTCGGTCACTTCCTTCTGGCTCCTGGTCGAGGTAAGACTGAAAACACTGGGGCTTAATGATGCTTCGGCCTAACTTGCACATTCTAATAGATACCTGGAAAGTATTTGACTAACCGCGTCTTTACTCACTGGTGTTCCTCATTAATTACAACACGTTTTGGTGTCTTCAAGCTGCTAGTGCGCAGGGCTTCAGTGACTCAACGCGTTCACCACAATCTGGAACCATCCGGCACTAAAACGTGTTAGTTTTACCGGAGGAGTTTCATGAGCATGAACGGCAACATGTTTAATTAGTATTGTTTTTAGTATTTAACGTCCAAACTCATTTTAACACACTTTGGTGCAAGCTACGTCCCCCGCAGGCTCGTTATGGCTGCTAGCGGTGTCTCTCAATGATGAAAAATACAGACCTGTACTGAATGACTGTGACTGTCACTTAATTATTCTGATGCGAGACACTGCTAACCAGCAACGTCGTTACACCGTAAGACCTCTACATGGTCACGACCGACACATGGCGGCCGCCACGTGCTTTGGGAGCTAGCTTCCCAGCTAGCGTCCCAGCATGCTAACGCTGTGTCTCCTTTGGTCAACAGATGGCAAACAAACCTCCCAGAGACTGTTTTCCCAGGTGAGGTTTCACAAGACTGGTTTCTTTTTCATGATTTAGGTTAACCGATGTGTTTTCCGCTGAACGTGCTACAGTGATGTGTTCTAGTTGAACTCTCTCACCTATATTCTTTGAGGATGATAAATCAAATTCTGAGTAGCATCAACTAGTTTTCTCGAGTGCTCTTGTGAAGTAATTTCAAAACTAATCATTTTTTTCTCAAATCCTCAGGCTTAACGACAATGTGCCTGAACTCTTTACATGGGGTAATTATAGAAATTATTTTTGCCCGTCCAGATCAATTGAAGCTTCAATGATTTTTTTGAATTCTCTCTTACTGAATCAGTCTTTGAAGAAAACACTTTACCAGATTATGAGAAGCATGAAGAATCACGTATTGAAGGCTTATTCCAAATCCAATGGACCCCCTCTAAACCCGATCTCTTCCCTGCAGATGTTCATGGCTGATCAAATGTGCGGATCCAGAATGAAAGACTACGGCAGGTGAGCTTAACTGACACTAGAATTAACTCCTTCACCAAGGGACACAACTGATGATTCAAGAAGACAAGCATATACCTGATATCAGTGATGCCAAGTTGTAATCTGATCAGTCCATGGAAACCGTGGATCTCGGGTGTAGGTCTCAGTTTATGGCTAACTGGGATGTCTCTTCAGGTGGTCCTGCAATGTTCCCATAATGAACTCTTCCAATGAAGAACACAATGGTGAGTAAACCCTCGTTCATTCATTCACACACTGGTTTGGGGTTAAACATGATGAGTATACTTATTGACAAGCATATGCCTGATTTCTGTGATGTCAGCCTTCTATCTGATTGCCCTTATTTAAATAAATGGCTGTCATTTTTTATTAATGGGATTTATAGAACTGGATTTTCTTTTTCCTGTAGGTTGGTGTCAACCAGTGTTTGAAAAAGGATGTCACCAAGAAGCAATCCTGTAAGTCCAGATTGTGTTGACCGTGGATGCTTCCCATCACAACATGCCAGTTAAATGCTGCTTCAATGATGATACTTCTAGCTCACTTTGATACTGTAGTGTTTTCTAAACCGGGTTAATCAAACCACAATAAAAGTCATCCTAGGAAACTTTCTTTTGATGTGCAGTAAACTTATTTGTTTCTCCTACAGATGATGGATGTTGTCTGGGAAACGGTGAGTTACACTTTTAGAGGAATGCCTCCAATGGTGCTTTGTTTTGCTGAGAATGATGAAATATTTTGTCTCGTTCGTCTGAACTACTGTTGACAAACCAAATCACTGACATCAGTAAACATCAACCGACAATAGTGGAAGTCTTTGTGCTCGGATCTGACAGTTGTCTGTTGCAGGTACTGACTTTGAAAGATGATGCCAGCTTCTTAACCTTTGTCCAGGTGAGTGATCTAAAAGTCTTGAACCTCAGATTTAGTTAGTTTCCTTTGTGATGACATCCGCACACGTCTTACGCCTCTGTTTAACGCCAGAACCTGTAAAGGTGGACCCACTGGTGTTGCCTTGGCAATAAGGGGAAGGAAAGTTGGTGTCGCCAACAGTCTGAATGGAAACTTTAAACCCGCATGTGACTAAATCCAGTTGTGACTGTGCTGCTAGTAGATATGGGGATCTGAATGCATTGAACTGGACCTTCTGATGCTGCTTGATTAACTCTGTAGTGAAAGTGACCAAACATTTCCTGTCTTTACTCTTTCTAGGATCGAGCTGCTGACAAGCAAAATATGGATCATGGTACGTTTGGATCTCAACCACCAGTGAAAATACTATTGCTTGTGGTGTGATGACCTCGAGTGCCTTTACAGTCATCCTCCCCCTCCCGGTAACACACTCTCTGCCTACCCATCAGACGCCCCGTTGGCCCGGTAAGACACTGAGAACCCTGAAACAAGCTTTCAGGTGTAAGGTGATCTCCGGCTCCCTGAAGGGCTCTGATGGTGGATAGTTTGTTACTTGGATGTAATGACTGAAAAAGTTTGCTGACTACATTCCTTAACAAAAGTTCTCTGCACAAAGATAATTGAAAGAGAATCATTTTTTTTATTTTCTTTTTCTAGATATCAATCTTTATGCTGAACTGAGTCAGAATTGCAGTGACTTGTAAGTTGTCTTGTGATTACTTGTTAATCTTGACTCGGCAAATAAACATGTGTTGCTTTAACTTCATAGCCAGTGAGCGTAGTTTGTTAATATAAGGAAACTAATTTCGTCACTATGCTCATTTTGATGTGATGAGTATTACCGCCCCAGTCTGAGAATTCATGACTGATTGGTTACTCTGATCAAATTAGAAGTGTGACTTACTTGCACCACCTTCCATAGACTGTATTGTTTAAATTGTGTTTCTTGTTGCAGGAATGGTGATTGTTACTCTGCATAGTGGAGACACAAACGAGTCTTTAAAAAGGATGTCACCAAGAAGCAATCCTGTAAGTCCAGATTGTGTTGACAGTGGATGCTTCCCATCACAACATACCAGTTAATTTAAATGCAGTTTCAATGATGATACTTCTAGCTCACTTTGATACAACGTGAAACGACATGAACTTCTGAGCGACTGCACTGTAATGTTTTCTAAACCCGGTTAAACAAACCACAATAAAAGTCCTCCTAGGAAACTTCCTTTTGCTGTGTAGTAAACTTCTTTGTTTCTCCTACAGATGATGGATGTTTTCTGGGAAACGGTGAGTTACACTTTTAGAGGAATGCCTCATGGCGCTTTGTTTTGTGGAGAATGATGAGATTTAATCTCGTTCGTCTGAACTACTGTTGACAATCCAAATCACTGACATCGATAAACGTCAACCGACAATAGTGGAAGTCTCTTTGTTCTCTGATCTGACTGTCTTCTGTTGCAGGTGACTGACTTTGAAAGATGCCAGCTTCTTAACCTTTGTCCAGGTGAGTGATCTAAAGTCTTGCGCCTCAGAATGAGTTCATTGAGCTGGACTTTCTGATGCTCCTTGATGAACTCTGTAGTGAAAGTGACCAAACATTCCCTGTCTTTACTCTTTAGGATCGAGCTGCCTGACGAGCAAAATATGGATCATGGTACGTTTGGATCTCAACCACCAGTGAAAATACTATTGCTTGTGGTGTGATGGACCACGGTGACACCAGTCATGCTCACCCTCCCGGTAACACACTATCTCCACCTACCCATCAGGCGCCCTGTTGGCCCGGTAAGACACTGAGAACCCTGAAACAAGCTTTCAGGTGTAAGGTGATCTCCGGCTCCCCGAAGGGCTCTGATGGTGGATAGTTTGTTACTTGGACGGAATAACTGAAAAAGTTTGCTGACCACAACAAGTACTACTTAGCAAAAGTTCTCTGCACAAAGGTTATTGAAAGAGGATGATTGAGGATGATTTTTTTCTTTTCTTTCTAGAGGTCAACTTTTATGCTGAACTGAGTTAGTCGTCAGGATTGCAGTGACTTGTGAATCTTAACTCTGCAAATAAACATGTGGCGTTTAACTTCATAGCCAGTGAGTAGTTTAATAAAAGGACACAAATTTCATCATAGTGCTTCTTCTTGGACACCCAACTTTACACTCTGCTCCTTTTGATGTGATGATTATTACCGCCCCAGTCTGATAATTCATGACTGATTGGTTACTCTGATCAAATTAGAAGTGTGACTTACTTGCACCACCTTCCATAAACAAGATTGTTAAAATCTTTTTGTTGCAGGGTTGGTGATTGTTACTCTGCATAGTGGAGACAC